CGTATGTGCAATATTTTATAATTTTTCACTAAAATCTTCAAATGAACATAGACATAAAAACAAAAATGGATAGAAAGATCACATCAAAAAGCAAGGTGATATATCTCATATCATATCACCTATATAAAATATATAAAGTAGTACAGTATTTAAGATTCTCATTAAATTTAGAAGTCTTCTCAGGTCACTAAAGGAATAACTTTTCTTTGTATTCACAGTATATGATTCCAGGATACTTAGAAAACATGGGTAACTTATGAACACACACCAAGGCAAAGTACCAGCATATCTATCACATCTGTTATAATTTCTATAATATATACTGTATATTTATTACAGTTTGTTTCATATAACTCCTGATTCATCATACTCTTATTGAAAACATGTTTTATATAAGCTGCTTTTATAATTGGTAATTTGGAGAATTTGTGGCTTAGAAGAAAGGCGAAAGTTCTGAAAATAATAGCCTGCAGAAACTGACATTGAGTCTCTTCAGGTCTTTGCCCACTCTGGCACTGACCTCCCAGCACCCCATGTACTTTGAAATTATGTTTCTATTGTCTTTCTTAGACAGTCCCCCTGTCTAAGGCAGATCGGAAGATTGATTGGCCTCTAATAGAATGGATAAAGAAGAGTGTGTGTGTGTGTGTGTGTGTGTGTGTGTGTGTGTGTGTGTGTGTGTGTGTCTGATTGTTTTGGTACCAGGGAGTGAACTCAGGACCTTGTGCTTGTGAGGCAGACATGGTAGATGTGGGTTTTTTTCTATAATGGAGTACTACTCTGCCATAAAGAAGCATAAGCTTGTGACATTTCTAGCAGATGGATGCACAATTTTGAGACCATACTCTTAAGTGGAATAAATTGGACACGTGTTCAAATATCACATGGTTTCTATGCTGTGAGAAACCAAAAGGGTAAATAAGGACCAAAATGTATAATAGATTGTGTGAAATAGGAAGAAAATGTTCAAATGGGAAGGGGGACTAGAGCAGGGGAGGAGGAAAGAAGAAAGGGAAAAGGAAAAAAAAAGAAAAGGAAAAATGAAAACAAAACTTTTGTAAATGAGGGGAAATAGGATCAAAGCTAGGATGGGAAAAAAATGACGCATGATATGTCATGTACAAGTACAAATTCCCAGGATGAATGTTATTATGTACATCTAAAATGTACTAATAAATGTTTTGCTTCAAAAAAATAGGATCTTAAAAAGAATCCTCTCCACCAACCCCTCTTCCTCCCTCTTTTGTTTAAAACAAGTTCTTGCAATCTAAGAGCCAGTTTAAACTTAATATTTAGCTCGGGTTGGCCTTGAACTCAGACTCGTCCTGACCCAATCTCCCAAATGTTGGAATTATGAGTGGGCATCATTCTGCGTAGCTCAAGAGCAGGTTTCTTGCTTCAAATGTTCTTTTAAGTTTAGAACAACCTGAATGTTTACACTTTCATATTTAAGACAAGGTAATTTGAGATTTATTTGAGCCAGTAAGCATGTCGTGTTAAAAATTCAAGGTGCAAATTATGAATTTATTAACCATTTTTCTTTAGTATAATTTTTTGTTGATTTAAATTTATTTTTATTTATTTTTTGGTACTGAGGATCAAACTCAGGACTTTGTACTTGCCAGGAAGGCCCAGCACCACTGAGCTACATCCCTGGCTTGACTCCCTTTCCAGTTCCTTTTTTTAGAAATTAGTGCTATTAATAATTTGAAGTGTCTTTTTTACAGGGCATGCTTTGCTAGAATAGAAATTTTAATTTGGTGGAAAATAAGAGCTGTGTGGCCAGTTGTTATGGTGCATGGCTGTGATCCCAGCACCTGGGAAGTGGAAGCAAGAGGATTGTAAGTTCTAGGCCAGCCTGGGATACACAGTGAATTCAGGCCAAACAAGACTACAGAGTTAGACCCTTTCTCAAAAACCAAAGACAACATTGCGGACCGTGGTATAGTTTTTGTAGTTTTCAGACTTGGTTTGAGAAAGATCCTGAATTTGTGAGAAGCCTATAATTCAGGAATATAACTTGTCTTTTCCTTTACAAACAGTGTTTAAAAATATCTTTTGAAATAAAATATTTTCCTCCCGTTTTTAAGAATCTGTAGTGACTTTTTTGTAAATCTGAGGTCTTTAGAATGTTGAGTTTTAGAGTCATCTATAGGTACTGTATGTAGGTTTTATATACAAAGAGGCAAATGAGATTCTTTAAAAACTTGCTAGGGAGTAACCTAATTGCATGTTCAAAAAGTAAAGCTACTTTCTTCCCTTTCTTGTGTTATGTGTGGTCTTTCTCCTCAGTAACTAGAGTTCAAATTAGTGGTATTTATGTTTAAGATATGTTGCAACATTTGGGATTAACCTTTATAGTAATCAGAATTTTTTTCATATTTTCTTATATTTTAAAAACCTAGAAAAACACAAAAGAGACTAATACAGTTGATTACATATATAAAAGCAAGACTTCTCAACACGTGTATTTACATTGCTTTGACATTTTATTATATTTATATAATATATGAATGTATCTCCCTTCCTTGTGGCTGCTGTAAGATATTACTGTAAATTGAGTGTCTTAAAACAACAGAAATTACTCTTTCACAGTTCAGGAGGCGCACTGGGTTCAGTGCTGGCTGTCTGCGCCTGTAAGGGTTCCTGATATTCAACTCTGCTATCTTCTGTGGTCCTAAGCATTCCTTCCCTGGGAGCTGCTTTGCTCCAGTCTGTGTCTCCATGGTCACACGGTCTCCTTTTCTGTCTTTTTCTGTGTGTCTTCCCTTCACTCCTCTCCACTCCCCTCTCCTCTCCTTCCCTCCCCTAGTGGGATTACAAGTGCCATCAACTCTGCTTCTAAAAATAACAGTTTCTTTTTTAAAAAATATTTTTATTGGTACATTTTAGATAAAAGAATAACATTCATCATATAGAATTTGTAACTGTACATGATTTATCTTGCTGCTTCTTTTTATCCCCATTCTTCTCTTTCCCTTTGACTCCTCTGCCCCCCCTTATTTACAAAAGCCTTGTTTTCATTTTTTCCTTCTATTCTCTTTTTTCTTAGAAGGTTCTTTGCCTTGTTCTCTGGCTATCTTTCCAGTCTCACTGCTTGTCATTCTCTGCCTTACATTTTATGTTCCAGGGGCATTAACCTCACTTATGCATTGAACTCTTCATAAATGTCACTTTTTTCTTAACTTTCTTGCCTTTTCTCATTAGATCTTCTCCTAGAATCCCCAGGAGTTTCTAGTTCCCCAATTCCTGGTTCACCTCTTTAAGGTTAGTCAGAGAAAAACTGAAGTTTTAGCTTTCACTCTCTGGAGACGGTACTCTACATAGCTCTTTTGTTTTTCTTAGCATGTCATGTTATGTAAAAGTGTCTATATATTTTTCTACATCATTCACCTCTAAACTTTTGATTGCTCATCTTTGAAAAATGTTTGAGCATGTACCTGCACAATTATTTATAAATTATGTACATGTAATTAAGTATCAATGAGGCCTTTGATAAGAAAAATACATGTAAGTATTAATGGTTTCATCCTATATCTTAAACTAAGTGTGGATTTCTTAGTTTAGGAACTTAATAGTTATCTGAACTCAGTGTTTTCCATCCTTTGTGTCTGTGCATCTTTTCTTAACCATTGTCACATACTGTAGATTGCTGTTTATTACAGTACATAAATGTCTCTTGAGTATGGTCACACCTATATTTCTTATGCTCCTAATCCGTTGCATAATGCCTAACAAATAGTACACAATTGTTTGTGGAATGGATATAAAGTGAATTGAGTAAGTGGGATGAACTGATACCAATCTGAAAATAATTATACAGTGATTATTTTTTATTTCTTTTTAGTATTTATTTGAGAGATGGCAAGGCCATTTATCTTTAAAATGCTTATTTTTTAAAATGGTGCATCTCAAATTATTTGTAATGGACTAATTTCTCTTTAGTTTTCAACCCATTTACACTTTTTTCAATCTATAAATGCTTTTGCAAAATTCAGTAAAAATTAAATGCTAGTGAGCCAGACACAGTGGAGCACAAATGCAAGAGGCTGAGACAAGTTCAAGGCTTGGTACATAGTGTGACCCCTGTCTTCCCTGTAAATAAACAAACTAAAGAATGCCAAAAAGCAGAAAATGAAACACTAGGAAAATGGCATATAGAGACATACAAAGTGTAGACCTTTATTATTAGATTCAGCACACATCCAATTACTCTTCAGAGTCTGTGGACCTTCAGTGGTCCTTGTACCATATACTTTAAGGAGCATGGAATAAAGATGATAAATGTTTTATCTCATTTAATTCTCCTAAACCTATGGAGGTAGGCACACTTGGCACTGTCAATGAGAAACTGCCGAAGGTCACATAAATGCTAGGGAAAGCAGACTTGATTTAAACCCATGCAGTCCAGTTTGGCTCTAAAGTCCAAAGTTTGCCCCTGATTTCATAGATTAAATGAAGTAGCATTTTAGTTAAAGAATGTTAAGGAGAGACATAGATGCAAGCAAAGATAATTACAAGTCAATATAATTTGTTTAGGAAAGAAGTTAAGAGGTCATAGAATGATTTTCTTATAACAAGTAAGGTTATGGAGGATAGTGACCAACTTTTATCCCTTTAGTGATTCTGCATTTGCTTACATATTAGTATTAATATCCCCAATTTGCAGAACAGAAGAGTGATGGTTATTTATTTGAAATGTGTCTTTGTGTCCTTAGTTTCGGATACTGAGTACTTTTTCATATTCTTTCTCATTTCTTATTTAATAGTATAATCAACCAAATTGTTGTGTTTACTCATATAACACAAAAATAAGCTGTCTTTCATATTAGTATTTTAAGAACAAAATGTCATGATGATGTATTTGTTAATGATCATATTGCTATTTGTTTTATAGCATAAATTCTTGACTTTATGAATTTGGAAACTTCTAGAATGTACAAATTTAAACAAAGTATTATTTGTAAATTTATAACTTTCTAAAAAATCTCTTCCTGTAGAAATCTGGTTAAGAAGTACTGTCCCAAACGTTCATCCAAAGATGAAGAGCCAAGGTAAATTATATACTGCTTTATTATTGCATTAAAAAATTAAAAACTTTTCTGTTAATGTTTAGTAATGTTGACTTTTTTGTGAGCATATTTTAAAAGTGTTTTATTTAAAAAATCAATGTTTATGAAAGAGAAAAGTACTGTTTAACTTGTAAGGATAAATCTTGATCAGTTTTTTAGAATAGGTCAAGTGGGGATTTCCAAGTAAGATGTATATTAAGGCTCTACTTGAATAATTTAAGTCACCAAAATAAAAGGTCTTTCCCCCACACTTTATTTAGTGGTTGTCAGCTTTTAGGGTGTTGCTTTTATTCTAGGTGATAAAACAAGTTTGGTTGGTTGATTTAAAGGGATAATGAAAATGGATGAGATTTTCAGGGTAAGTTTTGAATGCGGAATAAAAGATTAGGAATTGCTTATGAGCTTTTTGGCAGTTTTAAGTAGGAATATGTAGATAGCTGTAAAGTGCAGGAGAAAAGAGAGCATAGACTTAACAATTTTGCATATAATTGTCAGTTATTAGGATTCTCAGGTTTGCTGTTAATGGAGTCCTGTCTGAGCTGTCAGCCTTCAGTTGTGAGAGAGTATTACTTCTTGTATTCCAAGTAGATATGTACATTTTAACACAATGATTTTCTTTCTCTTTTTCCCTCCACGCACATTTTTACCCTTATTTTTGACCCCTTTACTAAACCCTCTTTGGTGCTAACTATAATGGCACTTTACTCCCATTCAGGATGTGGGCAGGCATACAGGCAGCTGCATCCAGAGCTGATAGCAAAGTTGTTCTGTAGATCAGCCAACAAGCTGCATTTGAGTGGTATGATTGGCAGGTTCTGTCCTCGAGAGCAAGCACATCACCTCTGCAACAGGTTCAGCTGCCAAGCCTAGGAATCTAACCAAGTTCATTCCCAAGTTCAGGCCAGTCAGTTGGCAACCTAAGAGATTCCAAAAGAGCCTGCAGGTAGTATTCTTATTATTTTTTGATCCCAAATATCCCTTTATATATAAATTAAAAGCTACTCGAAGATACATCAAAATGTACAGCTTAAGCTTAATGTAGGATTCTTTCCATACAAAGTTAATTTAGAACTAGCAGTTTGGATTTAGGTTGAGTATATTAAAATTTGTCAAGTGTTAGGCTTAATTATACCTTACCAAAATATTTGTAATGAAAAGAAAAATAAATTTCACCATTTTTAATGTTTTTGCCAGGTTTACCTCGTGTATAGCCTTTTTTAACATCCTTAATGAGTTAAATGACTATGCAGGACAGCGAGAGGTAGTAGCGGAAGAAATGGCACACAGAGTTTATGGTGAATTAATGAGATACGCTCATGATCTGAAAACGGAAAGAAAAATGGTAATTCTTATTCTTATTCAATTATAATAGTTTTATGAAATATTTTCACAAATAATTATTTTGCTTTTAAGAATGTGTGTTCAGCATAAATGGATTTCCTGCTTTGTTACATTTCTTCTAGTCTAAAAATTTGCTGCAAGATATTCTTGCTAATTTATGAGCCCTCTGGGTTTAAGACCATTTAGTGAAGTATAGCCCATGGTTCATATCTGGCCTACTGCCTATTTTTGTTCTGTAGTTCCCACAAGCTAAGAATGGTTTTTTAAATACATTTAGATGATTGAAAAAAAATATTAAGAGAATAAATATTTTATGGCATGTGAAAATTATATAAAATTTAAATAGCCAAAGATAATGTTTTATTGGAAACTCACATTCATTAATTTACATATTGTCTGTGACTGCTTTTGCTTTACATCAGCATAGTTGAATATGTGACCTGGAAATTTAAAAATATTTATGACCGTTATGGAAAACCTTTGTTAAATCAGACATGGTGGCTCATGCCTGTAGTCTTAGCCCTCTCTGGAGGGTGAGGCGGGAGGATCACAAGTTTCAGCCCATCCTGGGCAACTTAGCAACTTAGTGAGGACTTTGTCTCAAAATAAAAATTAAGAAGAGCTGGGGATATAATGCAAAGGCCTTTAGTTCAATCCCATTTTCAGAGCAATCTGTGTGTGGTTGGCTCTATCCTGTAATCCCAGGATCACAAATGTGAGATCAGCTCAGTCAATTTAGTGAGACTCTGTCTCCAAAAAAAAAAAAACGATCTGAGGATATAGCTCATTGTGAAATCCCTGAGTCTAATCTCCAAAACAACAACAAAAAACTAATTAACAAATGCAAACCTTTGTTAACCATTCCTGAAGTTATTTTTATTTCCCTCAATTTTACATCTATTTGAAAGGTTATAATTAAAATACTGAAGTAATATGCTATAAAATGCATTTTAATTGAATTTTATTTACTGTGTCTTCATAAAGTTATATAATTAGTATCTTAAACAACTGATAAGACTTTTCGTAACTTTATGATTTAGTATTTAAAATGTATTATTTTTGTTTGTTTTGTTGGTGGTGTTTATAATCTCTAGCATCTCCAAGAAGGACGAAAAGCTCAACAGTACCTTGACATGTGCTGGAAACAGATGGATAATGTGAGTTACATTGTTTTTCATGGTTAACATAAGATTTTGGTCACCCATAGATTACCCCTAAATTCTGTTAAGGTTTACATCTGAGTTTCATATTTTCAGTGTATTCATAATTTGACACTTTTTTTGGCATGGTAGCCAGTAAAGTGTAAATGGAGGATATAAGGTCATTTTTCTTTTTTTCCCATATAATTCTGTATTACTTGTATGAACGCTCTAATGTTTTTATTATTCTAAACATTTAGAGAGTTTCTTTTGGACTTTTGAGTATAGTTACTGTAAAATAATAGGGGATAGAAGTAGACTAATGGTGATATATTGTGGAAGACCATTTGATACTGAAAAAAACCAAGATATTAGTTCTACCTTTACTTAGCCTTTGATTTCTCTTGACTTCATTTTTAACATGGGAAAAATGAAGAAATCAAACTAGGTTATATGAAGTATTTCTTCCAGTTCAGTTACTGTATAATTCTATGAATTCTCCTAATATAGGAAAACAAAAAGCAACAACAAACTTTTATAAGACAACATTATAAAAATGTAATAATTTATTTAAAAATTATCCTAAGTGGGCCAGGGATTTAGCTTATTGGCAGTGTGCCTGTCCTGCAAGTGCAAGGTCCTGAATTCAATCCCCGGTACCAAAAAAAATCCTTTTTTTTTTTCCTAAGGTACTTGTTAATGTAGTTTTTCTTCAAGGTATTGGTATAGAATAATTGGAAAAACAAGATGTCTACATGAAATCCTATAATCTTTATTTAAAATGGTGTATTAAATGATATTATGTATATTCTAAAACATTCTTTTTTAGTTATGAGTAGTGGCACACACTTGTAATCCCAGCACTGGGAAGAAAAGATACTCTCTTTTAAATCTTCAGTTTATCAAGCAGTTTGTTTGTTTGTTTGTTTCTTTCTTTCTTTTTTGGTGGTGGTGGTGGGGGGGTGCCAGGGATTGAACTCAGGACTTTGCGCTTGCGAGGCAGGAGGCTGCACCACTAAGCTAAATCTCTGGCCCTATCAAGCAGTTTCTTTTTAACTAATTAATTAATTTTTTTTCCCTCCCAGTACCAGGGTTGAACTCAGAACCTAGTGTTTGCAAGGTGGTGCTGCACCACTGAGCTAAATCTCTGGCCCCAGGCAGTTTCTTTTTTACTAATGTATTTTTGTTATGTACAATATATTCCTTGAGAATTTGCTGAAGGAAATTTGTTAGTCTGTAATTGTTAGAAAAACAACTTTGAGATTTTAAAAACTCATGCATATACTTGCAATATTTTCAGCCTTTCTTTCCTTTTAAAAAATGCATATTCAAGAGCTGGGTGACACACACTTGTAATTCCAACACTTAGAAGGCTGAGGCAAGAGGATCACTGCAAATTTGAGGCCAGCGTTGATGATATAGAATTCAAGGGCAGTCCGAACAACTTAGTGCAACCCTCACTTAACAAGAACAAAAAAACCCCAAACAAAACAAAGATGCATATTCAGAGTTTAGTTAAGATTCTGTTATATAACTGTTACTGATAAAAGATTCTGTCACCAATGCTGATTAAGAATTCTTAGGTATATTAATAGTCGCTTCATTTTTGTTTTGATTTTCTAATTGGTTTCTGCAAGACTTTTAGGGAGTATTTTTATTGATTAAATTTTAATTGCATTCACTAGCATCTTTAGTATCTGCCTCCTAATGAATGTGTGTGTGATTCTGTGTTTACATTTGCACAAGATAATAGACTCCTACACTTAAGAGATATTGACTCCTTTAACAATTAGTGTTGACAGAATCATTGTGGATAATGTGTTCACTTGCCTTTAAAACAATGGTGCCATGCTTGCCTGGCAAGCCACAAGTGCCTAGTTCGATCCTTGGTAAAACAGAAAGAAAACAAAAAACAATTAGTAGTTATTAGGAAAAAGTTACAAAAGTGATAAGTAAGAAGAAGCTTCAAAAATATAGGGATATTTTCTTCAGTGCATTAATGATACTATGGAAAAAAAGATGAGTTCAACCCTACTCAAGTTTATTGACAGCATCCTTTACATGTACTGGGCCCTGGATATAAAAAATATGACATGGTTCTAGTTTTTGTGGTGCCTGCAGTCTGGTGAAGGAGACCTGCAGATATAATTTGTTTAATATTTAGAAACAAATACAGGATCCTGTTCTTTAGTTGTCTCTTTCTATTTAGCCAAGAAAATAAAATTGTAGAATTTCTAATAGGATTGAAATAATTTAGAGGACGTATAAGAACTGGGAAAATAGATTGAGTTAGTGGTAGAGTATTGAAAAAAATTTTGCGGGGGGGGGTAAAAGTTAATCCCAGAATAAACAAAATAGGCTGCACTGGCATTTAAGACGAGAACAGAAGAAGGTAACCTGTGAAGGGGATCTTGAAGGAACAGTTGTAGATTAAGAAGTATCAGTGATGCCAGATCTATCAGTTAGGAGTTTCCAGGTAACCGATCATATGTATTTCTACTAACAGCTCCAAAATGGAGCAGTTAAGAAATTAAGTAAGTAATTCAGCAGTGGTACCAAGGCTGAATGACCTTTCTTTCTGTCTGTCCATTTTGCCATCTTGATCATTTTGGCTGGTTTCTTCACCCTTTTGCCTGATCATCCTCATTTAAGCTGCACCCAGAGACAATGATTATTTATTTACTAACTGTCCCTTTTCATCAGGGAAGTAAAACTTTCCTAGAAAACTCCCAGTAGATTTCCTCATGGATACCATTAATGAAATTAGCCCAACCTGTGGGAAGGCTGGGGTTAACAAGTGATAGCTGTTTTCAGCCTCTGTTAGGAGGCAGGTGGTTCTAAGCATGAAGAAAAGAATCTCTTATGGAGTGAAGCCCTGTACTGTATAATGATATACTGTCTTTTAGTGAAACAGTATTTTCAGTTCTGTTGATATACTTTAATTCTATTGATGTAGCATATAGCTACTCAGTTTGAAAATATTCTCTGAACAGAGTTGCAGAGAATTAAGTGTGGAAATTTAATCTTAATTTTCATAGGAAAATGACATTCTGTTATTGTGCTTACCCAGATATTTTTATGTGTTTTGAATAAATTGTAGGTGTAACATTTGGGGGGTCTCATATTAATTGAAATACTAAGTAAGGTCTATATTTAAAAATTTATTTAAAAATTTCAAAGCACATTTATTTGATGCAAATTATAGAGTATATCTAGTTTTAACTATATGTCAAGCTAACTATATGTCGGAAATCTTTTAACTACAAATCCCTAGATGAAATGATTTTTATGGTGGGGGATTTAGCTCAGTGGTTCTACCACCTGCCTTGCAAGCACAAGGACCTGAGTTCAATCCCCAGAACCAAAAAAAAAAAAAAAAAAAGATTTTTAAAAAGTTACATTTTAAACTGTTAGGTACTTGGAAGAAAAATCTCTGTTAGGAACCTAAGGGTAAACAAAGACAGTAGTCAATATATGAATTCATACAATGGCATTTGGAAAAATGGGGACAGTGATGTTGGACTATGGTGGTGGTTTACTGGGCATATTTGCTAAGGACTTGTAGTTTAGTATATAGGGACAATAATTATGTTTTAGCTGTGGATATTGTTGGAAGCTGGGACTGAGACCCTTCTGTAAAATTTGAATCTCTGAAGGACTAAATCTTTAGCAAAAAGTAGACTAAGACCCCTGTCCACTTGCCAGGGGTCACATCAAAGAAATTTATCCCTTTCTGAAGGTCAGTGGGAAGGCACGTGAGAAACTTAAACTCTTGACCTTGTCATCACGATGTTTGGGTTCCAAATTGGGACTGTTAATACAGTTTTGTAATGTTCAAGACAAGACATTGTAACTGGTTCTGAAATGGTCAGGTAATTACAAAATGTTGACCTTTGTTTTCTTCTTCTGATTGCCTAGAATACAGAGAACAAGGCATATATTTTCTAGGTAGGAAACTGAAAATTGGAAAAGCTTTCTCTGGGGGAATCGAAGTAGCTACAGAAGGAAAAAAAAAAAAAAAGTACAGATACTGCTATGAGTTCCCAAGGAAACTCCTGGGTGTTTTACCTGAGAAAGACCAGAGATTCCCTACCTACAGAGATTTCAGTCATCTTTCTAAAGAAGAGTATACAGGGCTGAGCATGATGTCGCGTACCTATAATCCTAGGATTCTGGGAGGCTGAGGCAGAAGGATTGTATGTTTGAACCTAGGCTAGGATATTTAGCAACCTTAGCAAGATCCTGTTTTGAAATTAAAAGGTCATTGCATAGACTCGAGGGATATGGCTATGGCCCTGGGTTCATTCCGCAGTAACACACACACACACACCCCACCCCATGGCCCTGGGTTCATTCCACAGTAACACACACACACAAACACACACACACACACCCCATCCCAGCACACATCTATTTATTTTCAAGGAACCCTTGGCATTTAAAGAAAACATCTAATATGTATATCAGAGACCAAAACTAAGATAGCTAATATTCAGAAAAAAAGCAATTTAGGAGAAACCATGACTGTGAAAGAAATTGAAGCTTAAAAACATAAAAGCCTGAGCATAGTGGCAGACATTTGTAGTCTTGGAGGCTGAGACAGGAGGATCAAAAGTTTGAACCTAGCCCAGGCAATTTAGCAATTTAGTGAGAAAAGGAATGGAGGGAGGCCTGGGATGTAGCTCAGTGAAGATTTTAGGTTCAGTCCCTAGAACTGTAAACAAAAGATAGATAAGGAAAACACCCAAAATTGTTACTAATATTCTCAAGGAAAATAGAGAAAAATAATACATCCATGAAATAAAGCTAAGGTACTATTTATTTGGTACTTTTTTTTTTTCTTTTTTCGGCAAGAATCTTGCTATGTAGTTTAGGCTGGCCTTAAACTCACTCTGTAGCCCAGTCTGGCCTTGAACTCAGGCAGTCCTCCTGCCTCAGCCTCCCAAGTGCTGGAATTACAGATGTGTGCCACCACACCTGGCTTGTTAGCTAAGGTACTATTTAAAAAGGAACATATAAAGAATTTTTACAACTTTATGATAGCAGAAATGGCAATACCTGTAGAAAAGAAAGTTACAGTTGAAGAAATCTCTCAAAAAGTAAAATGACAGAAACTGAAAATGTAAAAAATATATATAAAATTAGAAGACTCATCTAGTAGGTTTAATTTAAAAAAAATATGCATCCTTAAAACAAAGAAAACAGGCAAAAATAAGTCAAGAAAATGTCCACTAGTTGTAGGACTTGTTTCTACATGGAGAGGATTTCATAGGTGCACAGCATAGTGACTCCAGGTCACAGCCTTTTATCATGAAGATTTCACATAGGAGAGAATGCAATCCCACTACCCACTGGAGAGAACAAAAGAAAAAAATGTGCTTTGTTCAATGAATCAGGAATGAAAATGGGATTGGATGCTCATAGGAATCCAGTAAACACTAATAATTACTTGTAAATTTTGATTTTCAAATTTCATCAATTAAAACTGATGGTTAAAAAAAAAAACTGCTGGTAAAGGGACTTCTACTCAAGGAAACTCAAAAAAATTATCTCTCACAAACCTTGTAAGAAGCCACTGCTAAGTGTGTTCTAGCTGAACGAGTGAGGAATTGACCCTAGAAAGGGGAAAGAATGGAACTAGGAAATAGGAGACCGGAGTAAGACAGAGGTTGAAGGAATCCTCAGGATAATAGGGAAGGGAGATCCCAAAGAGACAGTGCTGCAGTGGAGGTGGGGTGGGGTGGGGAGGGCTGCTTCAGCAGAGGGGTGGTTTGCTCTGGGCGGCATTATTGGCCAAAAGGAAAATTGTAGCAGTTTACTCCGTTTTAACAAGCAGTGAAGATTCGAGTACCTGGAAATACGAATTTTTTCTCATTTAAATTTTCTATTTAAATAGGTTAACATAGTCCAGATATATTGGAGGGCGACAAATTGAAGGACTCCCTGAGCTTCACGAACTCTAGTGCAAGCACTGCAGCTGTGCACTGTGCTTCATTGGTAACAGGTTCAAATTTAGGCAGGTTAGAAGCCTTTGGGAGATTGAATCATGAAAGTAAAATTGATAGAATTCTTAATGTGTTAGAATTATCTATGAAGAGATTTAATAAAAAACTGGGTTGAATGAAAGTAAGTGTCTTGAAAGCTAGGCTTAGCTCCAAAAACATGGCCCAGTTGCCAGTAGCTTTTCCAGAGTAGTTTGAATTGGATAAAAACATTTTTAAAATCTGAGTCTGGGCCAGTGGTATTTCAAGGACATCTGACAGAAGCAGCATAAAACCATTTTGGAGGGACACTTCCACTTCTCATGGTAGGCTAAAATCCCATCCAAAAAATATAAAAGTCAACCAGTGAAACAAGACACATCAAGCCAAAAAAGACCTGCTGAAGATGAGCTTATAATAAAAACTTACAAATACCTTTTAAAATTGATAAAGATAGATAAATTGAGATATGTTAGGGTTTTTTTTGTTTGTTTGTTTTTTTGTTTTTTTTTGATACTGGGGATCGAACTCGGACCTTGGGCTTGCAAAGCAGGCAGTGGAACCACTGAGCTAAATCCTTGGCTCCTGAGATATATAATAAGTATTAACTCAATCATGCTTCTTTTCTTCACAGACTGTAACATCTGTTATTTAAGGCAAAAATACATGGTTGTAATAATAAAAATTAGTTTCTGATTTTGAAAGAACAAATTTTACTTTTAGTGTGCAGTTCATTTGTATACAATAAAAAGTGGCGACATTTTAAAGTTTCTACTTAAATGGTTTAAGTGTAATTTTATTTTCTCAGTGTGACATTTTAATTTTTTTTAACAGAGTAAAAAGAAATTTGAAAGGGAATGTAGAGAGGCAGAAAAGGCACAACAGAGTTATGAAAGATTGGATAATGATACTAATGCAACCAAGGCAGATGTTGAAAAGGTAAGAAACAATATTTTGATACCAAAATATTATTTGCATAGGAAAAGAATCCAACCATTTGTATCAGTGTTAGAACTTCTTCAGGATACATCGCCTCTAAATCTAAAATATACAAATATTTTTTACTGGTCTTTGAAGGTAATGTATTATTTAGTTTATTGTACTCTTTTAGCTGCATTCAAAATACAGAGGCAAGAAATAGTTGCTACTGGAATTGAATTTCTGTCCTATTCCAAAATAGGACAGAAAGCAGATGTATCTATAAGGTATATCAGTAGGGGTTAGTGTGGATTGCCAACTTCACAGAATATGATGAAATTGTCAAACTGTCAAAAATATATTGTACTAGGTATTTATTTTGAAAAATAGAATCTTGGTAACTGATTATGGGCTACATGTTTATACGATGACTTATTGACAAGCTTAGCTCTGGTAACTGCTGCTTCTTAGCTTCCCCAATCCCATTCATAATGCTCTTAGAACATTTGAAGGTGATAATACTAAAATGATGGAGTTTTGAAATATAGATGAACCTTACATTGCTGCATACACTAAAGGATCACCATTAATTATATTATCTCCTTTGGATTTTATGGTTCCCTAAAGGATTGAATGAGGAAAAAAGTGAGAAGGGAGGGACAATTTATTTCCTGCCTTCCATTTTCTTTGCTAATTAAAAAAAAATGGAAACCTTAAATTTATATCAATTCCAGGTTACAATTTAACTAGTCTTCTAGCATAACTCATGATGCTTGTATATTTTTTACTTTATTTTCAATGACTTAAAACTTTGATAGTAAGTTCTCTATAATTAGAAATTATAATTTCAGGGAAATCTTATTTTTTAAAGCTGTAACATTTTTCTTATATTGACTTCACTCATCTCTTGGCTTTTGAGATACTATAGAAAAATATCAGATCTATTTGATTTTCATGATAGCTTTGGATACTTGGAGTATATTCTCTGCTTCTAGAAGAACCATTATGTTTCAACTATTCCACATATGCAGTAGCTTCATTATCTTTCATTATGGTTACTTCTTGATGCCCTTTAATTTGTCAATTCTCTACTTAAATTAGTGTTTTGAAATTGCATATAATAATCTAGGTATGATCTGATTTCTTCTAAGTTTGATTACCTCCCTTATTTAAATACTGAATTTATGTTAATAGAGCCTAAATGTATATGGACTTGGGCAACCACGTTGTTTGGATTGGCTTCTATTGAGTTTATGGTTATCTGAAACCCTCTTGTTTTTTCACATGTACAGTACAATATATATCTCTCAGAATTTATACAGTGTTTTTTGTTTTGTTTTGTTTTGTTTTTTTGCTACCAGGGATTGAACTCAGGTCCTTGCACTTGCTAGGCAGGTGGCAGAACCACTGAGCTAATTACCTAGCCCTATACAGTGTTTAATATGTACATCTGCATCAGTTATTAGATTTGATCCTGCTATTAAGATTTTTAGAGCCTGATTTTTTTGGGGGGTATGGTTTTTTGTTTTGTATTTTGAGACAGGGTCTCTCTATGTAGTGCAGGGTAGCCTTGAACTTGTTATGTAGCTCAGGCTGATCTTGACTTGTGGTCCTCCTACTCTGACCTCCTGGAGTGTGGAGATTATAGGCATATCCCACTACTCTGGCCTACATCCTGATTTTGATTATGATACTAATTTTCTTCCCAGAATTATGCCATACACATAATTGATCAGTGTATTTCATTACTTGATAAACATTTGGGTTACAACAATTGTAAAAAGCACTATGAGAGACTTCTTTTAAGTTAACATTAACTCCTTAAGAACTTCAATGATGCTGGGCATGGTTGTGCACACTTGTAATTCCAGTGCTTTAGGAGGCTGAGGCAGGAGGATTGCAAGTTTGAGCCCAGCCTTGTCTAATTTAGGAGTGTAGTGAGACCCTGTCTCACAGTTTCAAAAAAGGGCTAGAGATGTAGTTCACTGCAAAGGCCCTGGCTTTAACCCTTAGTACTGTAAAAAACAAAACAAAAACCTCACAAAAAGCCCCAACCCCCTCAAAATAAACCTCCTTTGACTTTTTATCAAATATTAGAGTAACTTGTTAAATGGACTCTCATTTAACTTATTCATTTTGTCTATAGAGATAAAGATAACTATTCAAACATCTTGAAATATAGATATATCTGCTAGTTGGTTCAGACAGACCTGTTCAGAATTTCAGTGTTCATGACTTCCTTTTTTATGCTTGCATTCACAGTTCTTTTCCTAATTGTTATAAAATTAGGGGAGGCTTCAATTGTTGCAGTCTCTTGCCTTTTCTCTTCCTCTATACTGATGGAGTCTCTCCCCCAGGCTGTGGGAATATTGGCCAGTTACTTGGAACTGGAAAGAGTTCCCCCTGACAGAACCGTGAGGTCTTCTGGGTAGGGAATTTGTAATTCTCTGTTCCAACATGGTTTGTGGTAGAAAGAGAAAAGGGGAAGGGCAGATGAATGTGTTCTTTGGTTCCAGGTTGGAACTTCTCATATACTTTTTCTCATATACTTTTCTGCAAAAATACTTTGGACCTCAGTGTTTAGTCTTTAGAATACTTATTGGAATCTTCAGGTCTACTGTGGATTAAGTGGGGTTTTATGGGCTTTTCTGAGATTTTTGACTGTCACATATTTCCTTAGGTTAGTTTATTTCTAAGAAGATCTAACTTATAGACTACTGTGAGAAGGTCAGGAGTTACATTTATAGAAACTGGAATTACAGTAGTGTGTATATTTATTGTACTTTACAGTGTATAAAGTCCTACCATGTAAAATGATTTATAACTTAGAAGTGTAAAAAAAACTGAGCTCAATTCTTATTTTGTTTTTTCCTTTTAGAACAGTTGATTTGTTTAGATTATATTAGACTCCAATATGTCTAGAATTAACAATTTGTGTTTATGTTGTACTCTTATATTCTTATGAACATAGATAATACTGATGATAAGAAATTGGGAACAGAATTAATATTCTAAATAAAAAAATATTTAGGTGTCTTCTGTTTGGGTTTTTTGGTACAGGGGATCAAACTCAGGACCTTGCACTTGTGAGGCAGGTGGCACCACTACTGAGCTAAATCCCTGGCCCTATCTGTGGTTTTGTAGAGATGTAATTTATATTATTCAAAAGTCATATTTTTACCATTCCACTGATTTTAGTGTCATTCTAATTGGATATAAGTGAATTATAAGGAAATATTTTTTCTAACTTTTAACAGTCTAAACTATTCTTGAAGCTGTTTTTCTTCTGATTAAAAGCATTGTTTCAAGCTGTAATATTGTCATTTACTTATTTTCTATGTGGATTGTATTTAAATGGATTATTGCAAGGGAAGAAGACTTACAATGAGGAAACTACTCTGACTATATATTTATTTTTACATGTCTCCTTAGATTTAAATAATAATCAGTAGCTTGAAAGAGTCAGACTACTTCGTTAGTCTTATGATGTCAGCTGTTGACTTCTGCACCTATATTATCTAGTTTTGGGATAATTTTCAGAAAAGTGAATTGTTGTGATCTTGTTTTTGGTAATGATTTGGACCACTTTGCTTCTAGGCAAAACAACAGTTGAACCTGCGTACACATATGGCTGATGAGAATAAAAATGAATATGCTGCACAGTTACAAAATTTTAATGGAGAACAGCACAAACATTTCTATGTAGTGATTCCTCAGATTTACAAGGTAAATTTTAGTTACACGAAGTTAATCTAGTTTGAGAGTTGGAAAAGCTAGTCTTTAAATGTAAAACTTAATTTTTTCTGTTTTGCTTTTGAAGTTCTGAGAATCTCACAGACTCTTGTATGCTAGACAAGGGCTAGACCTCTGAGCTACTTTTCTAACCCCCATACTTTAAGTTTTTCTAGATTTACTAGTTGCTAGGATCAGTGATGAGATTTTTGTGTGATTGCACATTTAAAAAGTTTTCCTATTAAATCATAAGTTTTCCTATATGTTTATTATTAGTGTTATAAAGAATAGCCACTAAAACAATGACATTTTGGAAATAAATTTTAATACTGTACCATTAACTATGTTGACCTTAGAGGAAGAATTCACTGAAATTGTATATTGTAATTTGCTCACCTAGAATTAGGAAGTACCTTTTTGACACTACACCAGAATCATTAGCATTGGCAGAATCAGGTGGTAGAAATAAATCTTTTAAATGTATTTGTTTGTCTATTTTCTTCCTGTTAGTTTTACTGGCCCTGTTAGATTATAATTCAGGCCTTGACTTGCTTATCAGTCCTGTCTAGCATCACTTAATGATAACAGTTGCCAAATAGTTAAAAACCCTATAATTTTTATGAGGATTAAATTATATTACTACTTTTTCTAGAAAAAGGAGAAATTAGAAGAAAAACCTATAGTGAAACAGTGTTGAATGAAGTAGTATCTAGGAGAGTAGAGATTAGGTGGAAAGACTGTCAACCCAAATATACCTTATTTCTTTTGTAAAGTAGCATGGAAGTACTAAGGAAACATACTGAGAGGTGACTAGATTCTGGTTATTTAGTCCAAAGCATCAAGCCTGTCTGTCCTCATTTGCTTCTCTAGGCTGACTGGCTTAAGTATTCCTATTCTGGGGGAGAACTTAACTTGGAGATAAGCTATCTTTGTGATTTGAGGTCTGGTCCTTTTATTTGTAACTTGATAATGGAGTAGCTTTTCCATTTTGTGATGAGTAGAGCATTTCTTTGGTGAGAATACAGGTCTTAAACTCCTAAGCTTTGAGAAGTAATTAAAAAGAAAAAGTGGTAGGAAGTCTGTGTGGTTTGAGGACTTGATTAGTGTAACTGTTTCCTAGACAAAGGTGAGTATTGGTAAAGAGAAAGTATAACAAATATAGTACTTGGATGTTATTGGGCTTCATGTATCCTGACGTATTTCCTGATGGTATGTCAGTGAATTTTGATTTTGTGGAGATTCTTTGTATGTTGTACTTTGACTACATGACTGCTTGTTTTCATCTTGTGTTCTCAGTTTTTTAGTAGTCACTCTGAGCTGTAGGTGGTAGGGTGTGTGAGTACCTGCTTGTATGTAATCAACTGTGGACATTTGATTCAGCCAGCTATTACCAAAATATTCTAAACTATTGTAAGGGGTTATAAGTCTCAATTGTATATATACATTATAGGCTAATTTATAAAATTAGTGCCAGAATTTTGTCTTCAAATCAAACTTTTTCTGGAAGCATAACTCTTCCAGAGACAAAAAGGTGGGAGAGGTATGAGACAGGGAGTTGGTAGCCTGGAAGGAGTTCTGATAGAAGACTTGAAAGCTACTGTCACCTGATTTTTGGATGCATGAAATGGCTTATTTTTCTTTCTTTTTTTTTTCTTTCATGATTTAGCAGGCTTCAGATTTTAAGTATCATATGTCCATAAAGCACTTATTAAAAGATATTGAAAACAACAATTTGATTATTAGGATACAAATCGGTGGGGGGAGGGTCACGAATAAGAAAATTGTTTTCATTTTTTAAAAATTCCTTATATTAGCAACTGCAAGAGATGGATGAACGAAGGACTATTAAACTCAGCGAGTGTTACAGAGGATTTGCAGACTCAGAACGCAAGGTTATTCCCATCATTTCAAAATGTTTGGAAGGAATGATTCTTGCAGCAAAATCAGTTGATGAAAGAAGAGTAAGTGCTATATAAGTGACTTTGAATAAAATGTATTTGATTTTGTTTGGTGTGCAGTTTATAATGAAATTGGTTTGGAAAAGAATCTGATGAGTGCTTGATTCTGTTATATTCTGTAGAAGAGCATTTTACGGTAAGACTCTTAGACTTTTAAGGACCATAGTAACTGCTAAAATTCTGACCCCCCACCCAAATTTGCTAGTCTTCTTGTTCCCCCACTAAGTTTTAAAATTCTAATCCAAGAGTATAACCTGTGTGTGACAAGTTGTATCATTCTGTTAATCTATGAAAGTTTAGAGAAGGATATGTTAGATAGATGTAGTGTTGTCAGACTTGACTTTAGTGCACAAATTGGTTGGTACTTGGGCTAGATCAAGGAACATAGGTAGCATATGGAAAAATTTCTCTTAAAGAGGGCATTCTGAGTAGAGGAAAGAGTGTAGTCCTTTTCTCCTTAAGGAAATAAATCCAATCCTGTTGTATCTTGACTAAAGTATAGCGGAATCATAGCTCTTTCTCAGTAAATATTGAGCAGCTGAAAAACATAGTTGACAGAAACTAAGAATACAAGGGAAGAGAAAGATAAGAGAAGTTTTGGTCAGGCATGGTGGTGTACACCTGTAATCTTGTCATGCAAGAGGATCACAAGTTTGTGGACTCTGTCTCAGAAAAAAGGAAGAAAGAGCTGAGGGTATAGCTCAAGGTGAATATGTTCTGGGTTAAATCCCTAGTACCTCCAAAAGCAAAAAAACAAACAAAAACAAAAAAAACCTAACCTAGTTTTGTGAGGAGGTAGTAGGTATCAGATGTGTATCACATATTTTAGTTTTCACAGCAAGCCTATCTGGTAGATGTTAGTGAGGATCCTTCCTGAAAGAATTACTAAGATTCTTGGGCCAGGGTTTTTAGCTCAGTGGTTCTGCCACCTGCCTAACAAGCACAAAGTTCCAAGTTCGATCCCTGCTACTGGGGGGGGGCATTAATAGGGTTCTTAAGTTTAAAAAAGGCAAGAGGATTTTGGGCTTCTTGAAGTGACTATTCCAAAGTGCATATATATATTTCATTATGTCTGCGTCCCAGGTTATACAATAAAGTTAGTGCTGTCCTATTTTTTCACTCTTCTTTCTTTTTAGCCTTTAGCAAATGATTGCTGGAGGCTGGCATTAAGTGAAGAAAGTAAGATATGATAAGATGTAACATAAGACAATAAGTTGTGATAAGGATAACTGACTAAATAACAGGCAAAAAATGTCCTGTTAACAGAAGCAAGGAACAAAAGAGGAAAGGTAATTATGGATAGAGAGTAGTTTGTAGAGACGAAGTGTACTGCTTGAAAATAATGAGTTAAAATATATCACTAAAACATTCAGCTAGAAGTATGTTTACAAACAATATGTAGTACTTACATGACTGTTTAAATTTGAGGTGAAGAGTGTTAAACTTTATAGTTTCGTGCTTGAGTTTTACACTGAGAACTGTTGATGAGGTCTTTCCCTGTTGCTCTGCTAACATTCCACAGGTTGTAGTTAATAAATTTTATTTTTCCCTTCCTCTGTTAGATGAATGAAAGCCTTACTCAATGAATGAAAGTCATTTTATTCATTTACAATTGAGTGTTCTTTCCTTGTTCCAAAGATCTTGTAAATAAAGCAAAAGACCTTTTTATTTGAAATTTCTCATAATTTCTACTTGATAACCTTTTTCTGTAATCTTTTTCTTAAGTCTTTCTAAATAGCTCACTAGTTGGGTAAATTGTGAGGGGTTAAACCTACTGAGTAAAAAATTTCATGAGTAATAGAAATTGAGTTGTTAATTTGTAAGTTAGGATATTTTTCTGTTGGGATTTATATGTAGAGTTTTATTATAAATTCTCAAAAGGAAATTATTCACTAAATTTTAATGATTAGAATTGTTTAAACTTTTGTTTCTTTGCACCAATTAAGGTTTTTTTTTTTTTTTTTTTTTTTTTTACTGGGGATTGAATTGGGGCCTTTGGGCTTGCAAGGCAGGCGGCAGACAATTATTAAGTTTTTCGAAGCTAATGTTTTATGAATACATGAAACGTTTTTTAAAAGTTTGTTTCTTGTTTATAGGACTCTCAAATGGTCGTAGACTCTTTCAAGTCTGGTTTTGAACCTCCAGGAGACTTCCCATTTGAAGATTACAGTCAGCATATTTATAGAACCATTTCTGATGGGACTATCAGTGCATCCAAACAAGAGAGCGGGAAGGTGGATGCCAAAAGCACAGTAGGAAAGGCCAAGGGCAAATTGTGGCTCTTTGGAAAGAAGCCAAAGGTAAGTGATAAAATTCCTGTATGCTAAGCAGAGTTTTTTGAGTAAGTCAGTTAAATTGATGCAAGTATTGAATGGATAATGATTTATTGTTAATGAAGAATAAATGTTTTCAAGTTGAAATATTCAATTAACGTTTTACTTATTAACAGTTTTATATGTTAGTTTTAAAAATATTTCTGGATTTAAGATTTGACGATCAGTTGATGAGTAGAAATATTAACTAAGTTGTAATATCTAGTTGTTTATATGTATTTAAATTTCATTTGTATATAGTTTCTATCAAAATTTCTAAGGAAACATTATAACTAAAATACTACTGAATTTATAATTCTCAGGTGGAATGAGTGATTATCATAGTAATGATGAACATCAAATTAGATCTTAACAAATTATAATGTAATTATTTTTATCAACCACATGATGAGTTTAATGGGAAGGGCTCAGTGTTTTTAATTGAAGTTTTTATATTTTTGAATTGTGGTTTTTAAAAATCACTAGTTAAGAGAATTTTACTCTTCTTAAAACCCAGCTTTTGATGTGCTGTTTTAGATTGGTAAACCTAGCTCATTAGATGAGCAAATGGAATAGATGAGTATGTTTTATCAATTTAGTGATTATAATAATGTAATATCAGAAAAGAGAACAGATATATATCATTAGTCTGATGTGCTATATTTATTAATGTGTGCTTGATTAGATTCACATCTTTGATCTTGGCATAAATGTAGATAAAATTGAACTCAAATTACATATACTATAAATACATTTTAAAGCACTATTATAATTAGTCTTTATTCATGCTTTTAATAATATTGTCCAAAACATAAAAGGAGAAACTTTTAAAAGATTAGTAGCTAGACTTTCTTAGAAATACAAGCAGTACTGAATTTTATTTAAAAAGAAGTGAAATAAGGATGAAATAGAAGCTATCCCTAAAGTCATGAATTAATGAAAATTTTTCTCCTAATCAATTACAGTTTCAGTATTTTGTTTGTGGTAACTTTAGCTATACCTCCTGTCTTTATCTCTTGACCAATTACAGGTTAAGTATAATCTGAAGAAAAAAGAATTTTTAAAAATTTAGGTCATATGTTGTTCTAACCTTTGTAATTTATGTACTTTTTATTTTAAATTTGCCAGCTTATAAATATGATCTGGTGAAATGGTATATTTTTAAAAGTTAATTTTACTTTTATAAATTATAATTTTTGGCAAAAAGTTTAATATTTTATAGAAAACTATTTGAATTATATTTTGTGAATAGTTTATTGCCAAAAATAGAATTTTCATTTAGGAAAAAACTATGCACACTTGGCTTATTGATTCCTTTCTTTATTTCCATATTAGCCACAGTCCCCACCCTTAACCCCTACTAGTTTATTCACATCCAGTACTCCTAATGGGTCCCAGTTTCTCACATTCTCCATTGAGCCCGTGCATTATTGTATGAATGAAATAAAAACAGGGAAGCCCAGAATTCCTTCTTTCAGAAGCCTCAAAAGAGGGGTAAGTTTAATAATGGGTTAAAATGCATGATGGCCTATTGTGTGTGTAGTGTGGCTTTTAATACTCTCCACCCTCATTATAAGGCTCTCTCCTATAAGTACACAGTTTAAAACACCACATAATTAAGTATAGCTGCCCTTAAGTTAAAGATGACTCCTCTTTATAACATTTGAAATGCTCAACCATAAAAGAATGGTGTTATAAAGAGGGTGCTGGGTACAATCATATTTTAGCTATTTTTTTTTTCGTTTATGTGAAATCATATGTCCACCATTGTCTTGTAATGTATCTACATTTTTAAGACTTTCAGTAATTTGTCACTGGAGTTACTCTTGTAATAATTTGTCACCAATGCTGACTCACCTGCGAATTTTATAAAATAATATTTTATTGACAGTAAAGTACCAAGCTTAATTTTAATTGCCCCACTTAACTTTTAGAAGCATAAAACATAATTTGCAGTGGCTTAATAAAAAACTAAAAATAAGCCTACTAGCCAAGCATGGTGGCACACACCTGTAGTCCCATCATTTGGGAGGCAGAAACAGAAGGATCTAGAGTTCAGAGCTAGCTGATGCTACATAAAGAATTCAAAGCCAACTAGAATCACATAACATGACCCTATACCTAAAAACTCGTGTATGTGCACACACACACACACACACACACACACACTAAAGATTGTTTATAGATTAAATTAATAAAAGTTACTTTTAAATTTTAAGGCCCATAAAAATACTTAGCTATTACTGAGTTAGGTTTACATGGAAATTATTAAACTTTTTACTAGAAATTTCCCTTTACTCTTTTTTAAAAAGTTGATTAGTCTTTGAAATTTGCTTATTCCTAATAATACTCTGTAAATAAAAATTTACAGAATACTAAACTGCAGCTACAGTATTAAACTGTTTATTAGTAATAACTGCTAAAGTAAATTAGTGTTACTCCCTTATATTAGTGAGGCTCTTTTTATTTTTTTTCCTTAATTTGGTGCTGGGGATTGAACCTAGGGCTTTGTTCATGCTAAGCATTTACTCTACCAGTGAACCACATCCCACTTCCCTAATTTTTCTTGTCTGTGTTTGATTCTTAGGATATGCTTGTATAAGTTAGATTCGTTTATAAGATTTGTCTAGACTTTGAAAAAACATAGACATGACAATCTACACATGAAAATATCAGTCCTATCACTGCCATAGGAGGTCTTATTATTAATATTCTTCCATTTCTTGTTTCTCTTTTTGTTCTATTCTTTTCCTTGTCTGTCTGTCTTTATTTCTTTCTCTCTTTTGTTCTTTCTTTCTTTCCTTTATCTCCTTCCTCCCTTCCTCCCTCCCTTCCTTCCTTCCTTCCTTTCTGATATCTAATTGCATTTTGGTCACCTGTAGAAAGAATGGTTGTTTGCTTACAGCAAGATTACATTATTATTTGTATTTGCATTTTTAAAATTTGACTAACTTCACTAATGTCAGTTATATATCAGAAGTGTTCCAGTGTATTGTGACACTTTTTTATTTCCTTTTATTCATCCAATAAAATGAACTCTTTGCCGGGCATGGTGGCTCACGCCTGTAATCCCAGCACTCGGGAGGCTGAGGCAAGAGGATCGCTGTGAGTTCGAGACCACCCTGGGCTACATAGTGAGTTCCAGGTCAGTCTCAACTACATAGTGAGACCCTGTCTCAAAAAAACCAAAAAAAAAAGAACTTTGTTTCTATCTTGCTTAATTCTATGTGTGAATAATATATATGAGTCATAACACTTTGAAAAGTCCCTGTAGATGACTTTATATTGTACTTAAAGGCATGCTGTTACCATTTTTTAAAGACTTTAAGAAATCATATTTGGGATTTCTATTGTCTGATTTATGAGAGAGTAGAATTTATTCCCATATTGCTTCAAATACAAAATACAATTCTGTGAAAAAAATTTTAGACAATTAGAACTGGAGGCCTCGAGAAAGAAACTTTAGTATATGGCATCTTCATTCTTTTTTTTTTTTGGTACTGGGGATTGAACTCAGGTCTTTGTGCTTGCAAGGCAGGCCACCAAACCACTGAGCTAAATCCCCGGCCCAGCATCTTCATTCTTAACAAAACAAACAGCAGATAGAATTTTACAGCTGCAAACTGAAAAAATGATTTATTTGCTTGATCATTCTTTGTTTTATCTTCATATATTACTTTAATTTTAAATATTTATACTTTTTTTAGGGGCCTAGTTTTAGAAGGCTAAAATGTCCTCCCAGTGTTACTATTAGTTACTATACAGAGAGGAAAATAGTATACAAGATAGAAAATACCACAAACCAACTAGGATGTTAGAGAATGGAGCAGAAAGGAAGTATAACCTTAAGATTGAATTATTTCTTTCTGTTTCTTTAGTCTTTGGTAGTTCACTAGGTACTGTTTCAAAATGAACCCCTAGAAATGTTTTCCTTTTGCTTATAAATTTTATCAGTATAGAGAAATTGAAAAAGAAAATAAGCTTTAATAAGCCAGTTGGTATGTTTTAAGTGGATTTTTTTGGTCCTTTTATCTTTCTGAGTAGGTCTTGGTTTTTTTTAAGCTGGTGAGTTGTGCCATTCAATTCAGAAACTGCTTTTGGGCCATATTTGTTGGGCATTGTATTTCCTAAGTATCTTTTGTAAAAAGTTATGATTTCTTTTTAAAAAGAAAACTAGTTTATATAGTACCATGTATCAGTTAGGATGTGAGAAATGTTATGTCAGAAGCGAAGGTGAACCTTTTGGAACTTTCAGTGATAACACACAGCTGTCCACAGCACATGTGCCCTGGGTTTGCCAGCCCTGGAGTAGACCAATATTTTTGAGTTTGACAGTGGTGCCAGTGGACTCCTTCTGAAGAGTGAGATCTATAATTTCTTCCTGTGACATCAAGCCTGTAGATATTTAGGGAGTATACCAAAACTTGACTGCTTTAATATCCTCACTAACAGTTTCTATCCTATAACTATGTCATTTGAGTTTCATTAAATATTTTTCTGTGAAGGTTATAGGTTCATCTAGCATTAGTAAGTTCATGTTTTTTGTCTAAATTATGACCTTACAGACTTAGTTTTTTTTTTTAACTTTAGTATAGAGTACAGGGCTCAAGATTTTGGCATATTTTAATTGCCTAACTGATTTCCTCTTTTGCATTAGAACATAGTGGTTATGGAATATGAAATTTTCTAGTTTATAGGTATATTATAATTGTATATGACAATATGGTAATTTTTGAATTGAACGTATATTACTTGAAAAAGTACACAAAATGTTTCTAATATTTTTACAAAGAACTTGTATCACCAAATCAAAGATTAATGCACCATAGAGTTGTTTTTCAATTGATAGTAGATCTAGATTAGTTATAAATGGAAATTTTTGCTTTTTGAACTATAATTAATGGTTTTCTTTAAAAGATATTAATATAGAAACTAGACTTCATTCTTAACAAAACAAACAGCAGATAGAATTTTACAGCTGCAAACTGAAAAAATGATTTATTTGCTTGATCATTCTTTGTTTTATCTTCATATATTACTTTAATTTTAAATATTTATACTTTTTTTAGGGGCCTAGTTTTAGAAGGCTAAAATGTCCTCCCAGTGTTACTATTAGTTACTATACAGAGAGGAAAATAGTATACAAGATAGAAAATACCACAAACCAACTAGGATGTTAGAGAATGGAGCAGAAAGGAAGTATAACCTTAAGATTGAATTATTTCTTTCTGTTTCTTTAGTCTTTGGTAGTTCACTAGGTACTGTTTCAAAATGAACCCCTAGAAATGTTTTCCTTTTGCTTATAAATTTTATCAGTATAGAGAAATTGAAAAAGAAAATAAGCTTTAATAAGCCAGTTGGTATGTTTTAAGTGGATTTTTTTGGTCCTTTTATCTTTCTGAGTAGGTCTTGGTTTTTTTTAAGCTGGTGAGTTGTGCCATTCAATTCAGAAACTGCTTTTGGGCCATATTTGTTGGGCATTGTATTTCCTAAGTATCTTTTGTAAAAAGTTATGATTTCTTTTTAAAAAGAAAACTAGTTTATATAGTACCATGTATCAGTTAGGATGTGAGAAATGTTATGTCAGAAGCGAAGGTGAACCTTTTGGAACTTTCAGTGATAACACACAGCTGTCCACAGCACATGTGCCCTGGGTTTGCCAGCCCTGGAGTAGACCAATATTTTTGAGTTTGACAGTGGTGCCAGTGGACTCCTTCTGAAGAGTGAGATCTATAATTTCTTCCTGTGACATCAAGCCTGTAGATATTTAGGGAGTATACCAAAACTTGACTGCTTTAATATCCTCACTAACAGTTTCTATCCTATAACTATGTCATTTGAGTTTCATTAAATATTTTTCTGTGAAGGTTATAGGTTCATCTAGCATTAGTAAGTTCATGTTTTTTGTCTAAATTATGACCTTACAGACTTAGTTTTTTTTTTTAACTTTAGTATAGAGTACAGGGCTCAAGATTTTGGCATATTTTAATTGCCTAACTGATTTCCTCTTTTGCATTAGAACATAGTGGTTATGGAATATGAAATTTTCTAGTTTATAGGTATATTATAATTGTATATGACAATATGGTAATTTTTGAATTGAACGTATATTACTTGAAAAAGTACACAAAATGTTTCTAATATTTTTACAAAGAACTTGTATCACCAAATCAAAGATTAATGCACCATAGAGTTGTTTTTCAATTGATAGTAGATCTAGATTAGTTATAAATGGAAATTTTTGCTTTTTGAACTATAATTAATGGTTTTCTTTAAAAGATATTAATATAGAAACTAGGAAAACTATATCACTTAAAAATTTAGCTACTAAAAATTGTCATAAAAATAAGTAAATACTTCAGATACTGTTTCTTGTCTTACATATAGCATTTAACAGCATTTTGATGAAGACCATGAATACCTTTCCTTTATTTAGACCTTTTTATTTTCTTACCAGGAATTTTGTCTTAGCAAAATAAATTGATTTTGTTTCTTAAAACTACTGACAGTCTAAAGAATGTTAAGCTTAATAAGAAAGATAAAGAATAGCAAATGTCACCTTTTTTTTTAATCTTCATTACCATTAATATATATGGTCAACTCATCATAGATAAGGGGTAGATATTTTTGCCAGATACTTACTAAAGTTTCTATTTTTAAATGTGAAATTCTATCTGATGTCTCCACTACCTTCTCTTAAAACATAATTTAAACTGAGCGTGGTGGCATAAATAATCTCAACTACTTGGAAGGCTGAGGCAAGAGGATCACAAGTTCAAGGCCAGTATGGGCAAATTTGTGAAACCCTTGTCTAAAATAAAATGATTAAAAGGGTTGAGGTATAACTTAATGGTAGAGTGCTTACTTAACAAGTGTGAGGTACTGGATTCAATCCTCGGTACCAGAAATTAAAAATCGTGATTTACTAATCTGGGAAAAATGAAAATTTAAATGCTGCTAGCTAAATGTGATGAATGTAAAGACTAAATCTATAAAGTTTTCTGTGTATTCTGGGACACTGTGTGTGTGCATTCGTGTGTGTGTGTGTGTGTGTGTGTGTGTGTATTTGGCACATTTAAACTGTGAAAGAGCAGTGTGGTTGGTTTCTTCAGACTTCGTTTCACTATATTTTCAGAAAGAATAAATTTAATCAGTTCACTAAAATTTAAGTTACATTGGTGGTATTTTTCAAGCATGTGGCTTGCAGAATAAAAACTGAAAAATAGACATATTTTAAAAGCAAAATTCGACCTATGTATGTTTATCAGGAAATATGTCATAAGAAACTTGATTTTGATTAAATTTACTATTTTGATAGTAAAATAATTTGAATGTTCTGTGCATTTTTTAAAAGGCACCTTAAAACTAAATTAAAAATGTTGCCCTCATGTAATCATGATAAATTTAAATTCAAAACAGTATTTATTGAACTGTAAAAATTTGCACAATAGTGTTTTTAATGCCCTGGGAAGGACATTCTATTTTTTTTTTAATTTCATGAACGATTTCTTTTTAAATGGATAATACTCATTTATGTTCAACTTTTCAGACAGGACTTTTGAGAATGAAGAGCTGTAGAAATAAAACCTACCTATATAAAAATTCTCTTTAAAAGAAAGTGGATGATTACTGGTAGAATGATAATTTTGGGGTTTTAAGTAAATTTAGAAAATATCTGCCCATTATCATCAGTGTCTGCATTTTTTGCGAGTAATTTGCTTTCCCAAAATGTGCGTAAAATTGTTATTTTTTTCCTGGCATAATTGTTTGGATTGTGAAATACCATGATTTATTTTAATTGTAAAAAAAACTATAGGTTATTGCATCTTCTGTTATAGTTTCATGTAAATAATTTACCATTTCTTTCTGTTTTCCATTGAACTATTCAGTGGTCGGTGAAGATGGTAAGCCTCGTGTGCTGATCTATATACTGTGCTAACATTAAATAATCTCATATACTGTACCAACATTAAGTAATCTCAAAACATTGTTTCATTTAATTCTAAACAAGCGGTAAAGTACCTCCCTCATTTTGATTTTGTGTGTGTTTTTACTTTTTTTGGTTTAATCATAAGTCCAACATATGCCAGCCAGTACCTCTCAGTGTCATAGAGTAGAAAACAATGTGGTTAATTGTCAACAGCCTGTATTCTTAAATGTTACTGGGTAGAGTTTTTGCCATGTTATGAAGATTGAAATTATACTTAGACATTATTTAAAAAGTTATATGATACAGCAAAAAGCTCATATGCAGAATAAAAATTTAGCAAAATTATTTTTACTAGAACCTTTTTAAATATATTAATTTGATTTAAAATTCATCATAAGAATTAATTTTTTTCCTCAAAAGAAATTTTTGTACTAATTTTACTATGGAGTAAATAAATGTTCTATTCTTTCATACTTCTGAAGGGGAACAGAAGCATAATTTATTATTAGCATAACCTAATTATTTTGGGTGCGAGTGTGTGTGTATGTGTGTTTGAGATGTTCCTTTGTATATTTATTTTAAACATATTAATGGAGCTACATTATAAAGAACGAATCACCAAATTATTGGAAGGTTGTATAGGAAGCTATATAAAATAGCTTTTGGAAAACAACCAGTCTTTCTTGGATAGAACCTTTTATAAATTCCCTTGTAATAAAAGAATCTCCATGTTAAATGCCTCAGAGGCTTCTTTATATTCATAGGAAATAGAATGAGTTAAGCTTTTGAATTGTAATATTGAAATGGAATATTTGAAATGCAAGTGATTAGGTATCTGCTGTAAATAAGTTTGATAACAAGGGATCTGATTTAGGGATAAGTAGAAATCTGGCAGATTTACTTAATAATTGTGTTTATCATGATATTATACCAAAAAAGTCTACAACATTGCAATGTATTTCTTCATTTCATTAAATATTTTTTGAGATTTTCAGAAATATTCTCAAAAATATAAATTTAGAAGCTTATCTTTGGCATATATATAATTTAAAACTTGTACCCTAATTAGAATAAACCTAATAATTTATGTTGACAATTAACTACTGAATTTAAACAAAGTTTATATAGGAAATTTTGCCATTCATTTATTTAGGTGAGATTTGGTTGATTAACATTTTTGTTTCTGGTGACCGGTAGAAAAAACAGCTACTTTTGGTCAGTAAGCTTGTTGAATGTCCAGTGTGCAGACCACTAAGGAAAGATTCTAAGGATTCTGTTATTAACTAAATGTTACAGTTGATTATAACTCATCCTAAAAGTGAGTTTTTTTCTTTTTTAAAAGTAACTGAAGCATTCCTACAGATAATAGAATAAAGCTATGCAGTGTATATGATATGTATAAGTGGCCCAAAAAATAAGAATGCATTTTTATTATGGGAGCCCATTTCAGCAACTCTGAAAAAACTGAACTAACTGTATTAATATTCTCCAAATAACTATTTTGAAAAGAAAATGAAGAATCATAGCTGTCATCAGTTTTTAGCGTATATAAAAAGTAAATACACATTTATATTAATTGGGTTCAGTGGTTGTTAATAATGGTTCTGTTATGATCTCTAGTAATTGTAGCTAAAGTCTCAATGACTAAAGTAACATTTAAGAGGAAAAAGATGTCATTTGAATAAAATCTTACATTTTAAACACCGGTACTTTTTCATAGTTACTTGACTATCAAGCTATTAAGAATTTTTCAGATACCAAGAATCTTTCCTACAGGATTATATCCTTTCTTTGGGTTTTGTCTTTTTGTCAAGTACAGTTGAGATATGTTATTTGATTTACATAAGGAAAATTTAAAAATATACAATTATAAAAATTTTAAAAGTTTACTAATATAATTTTACTGAGTAGAAAATTGTTTTTTATTTTCTTAATGATCAGAAATGTTTTAATTTCAAAGAATGGTTTACTAAGGGTAACCAAAGACTATATGTAGTATTGAAGCATATTTCATTAATCAACCACTATGAGGTAAGTTGCTTACTTAAATCAACTGTGTGAACTCCTCATATTTTTAGTTTTAGCATTTATAGCATTTTAAGTATCATGGTAATGGGTTTGATTTGGAAAGGTAGTGATATGTGGTATATAAAATAATGACATGTAGTTGAGAAATGTTGTGTGTTTCCATTTTGTTGTTGTTGCTGTAAGAAAATTCATATGTATTCATTTTAACTGCCAAGATTTGAAAATAATGTGACACTAGTGATTACCAGTTACCTTTATTGGTGATATTTTTACCTATTCTGTTTCATGCTTTAAAAATGTGACTGAAATGTGAGCTTTTTTAATGTAATGGTGTTCTTTAATCTATGTAAATTTTCTTTTTTTTAAAAAAAGGGTTGAGGCAAATTTGAAATTAAAATTTGTATATATTTTTAGTTTAAAACAAGTAAATTTAAGAAATAAAATTTTCTAAAAAATGTTTTAGTAATGATTTAGAATCTCTTTTCAGGGACCAGCACTAGAAGATTTCAGTCATCTACCACCAGAACAGAGACGTAAAAAGCTTCAGCAGCGCATTGATGAACTTAACAGGGAACTACAGAAAGAATCGGACCAAAAGTAGTGTTTCTTTAATTTCTATCATTGTTATTTTTTTAGGAATCTACTTTGAATAATGTGTCTAAATGTGGTATATAAAACATTTCCAAATCATATATCCTGGACTGAGGATATAGCTCAGTGGTAGAGTATTTGCCTAAGATGTCTGAGGGCCTGGATTCAGTTCCCAGCACAAGTCATACTCTTTGATTGAAATATCTTTTTTCCCCTTAAATTGAGACAGAGCCTCACTATATAGTCCAGGCTGTTTTGAATTCACAACTGTACCGACAAGACTGGCTTTGAACATAGGATTCTCCTGCCTCAGCCTCCTAACTGCTGGGAATACAGGAATGTGCCTCTGAATTATCTTGTGAGAAAAAAAAGATATATCCCTAAACTAGAGAATGCCATGTCATAAGTAAAAATGAAGCTGTAGAGTTTTTTTCCTGCATTTCACATTTTTATTAGTTGCTATAGCCATATTTATGTCTTTCATAAACTTGTAAAATGATTTGATGTTTCATTATTAAGAGTAGCTTCTTCAGCATTAGCCACCTCTTCTACTTTGATAGATTTTCATTTTGTTTTGGTATATAAATTGAGCTCAGTAGCAACTTGAGCCTATAATTATTTACTGCAAAACATGTTAGCAAATACTGCTTTACATTTGTTCACTTTGACTTTTTTGTTTTTGTTTCCTTTAGTTCGATTTTTTTTTTAAAAAAGGACAGTTATTTATGATGAATATAGGGTTGCTAACATGAATTAGTGACTTAGTATATATCTTTACTGAAGATAAAATTGCAGGGCTGGAAATACATAGCTCAGTGGTGGAATACTTGCCTAATAAGTGCTTAACCTCTAGCGTGAAAGACTAAAGCATTTGTGTTAAGAATAGTTTATCAGGTATTATGGGGTACTTAATCATGAATCAGATATTACAGTTGATTCTCATATTTCACAGTAGTTAATGGTCCAAAGTCACCAGAAGCACTAAATTATGGAATACTGAAACACTGTTACTAGAGGAAATACAAGGCTGGGCCCCAGCTAGCCAATGGCCCAACACTTTCATCAACAGATAGTTACATTTATATAGCTTTGTTATATGTTTGTTTCTGATTGAAAATACCTTGTTTAATAGTGTTGATTCATTAACTTTGAGCCCTGCAGTAGTGTAATTCATGCCTAAACAAAGTTTATGTAGCTACTGTAAACAGAATGATCACTAACAAAACATAAAAGTGGGGAAAAAAGCGGCCCTAAATAAATAGATTGTAAAAAGGACACTCAGAATGACAGCCAAAACAAGAAGGCAAAATGTTTTCTTGCTTGACTTTGCTGGGAACTTACATGTGCATTCAGTGACTCCTGTCTTGTGCACATCCGCAAGTGAGTGGGAAGTCATTTTGAATACCAGTCTTGGAGTTATAAATTAGTGAGTAGGCAATTTACAAAAATAAGGACTCTGTCAGCAATTAAGAATAACTATGTTAGTATAAATAGTATTTAATATAAATTAGTATTTCTTAGTAGAGCAAAATATAAAAAGTGTTTGGAAAATTATAACATCTAGTCTAATGTTTAGAGCTTAAAGTCTGTGCCAGGAATTATGAAGGTACAGCAATGAAGACAGTCTAGTTCTTGAGGTTCACATTCTAGTTGGGGAGGATAAGACTGATATAGGACTTAATTTTTGCTGGATTGTGATAACTGTTAATAGATATAAATAAATTTCTAAGGGAACCTAGAGAAAAGAATTGTGAGATTTTATTGAGACAATTGAGAAAGACTTTACTGGGGAGACAGTAGGGGAAGGGGAAGGTACTGAACTGTGTGTGTGTGTGTGTATATGTTAACTGAATTCTTCAAATAACCTAACGTTAGTGTTCCTGTTATATAGATGAAGAGACCAAGTGTCAACTAAATACATGTTTTTTCTAAGATTAGGTAGCTGATAAATGTCAGAGTTAACATTCTAAACACTATAGTTAGCTTGTCTTCAGAGCACTGTAATTGGACCTTGATGGGAGAATGGGATTTTGCCAGCTAAGAAAATGAGGGAGAAGGAAGGAGCATCCAGGAAAGTAGGAAAGACAACGATAAAGACAGAAATATGAGTACTTGACATGCCTGGAATTTAATCTAGGAAGCTGAGAAATGTGGAGTGTACTGCCATCTGCCTTGCGAGCACAAGGTCCCGAGTTCGATCTCTGGTACAAAAAAAAAAAAATGTGGAGTGTAATAACAGGATGAGTGTGAAAACGGTATAGGATGAAGTAAGAGATATCTTGAGCATTTTGTTTGGAATTCTGTGGATATTGGGGAATCATCAAAAGTTGTTGAAGGGTAGGTATTAGCAGCTTTGCATCCTAAGAAAGTTATCTGAAGAGTAGATTATAGAGAAATGAGATTGGAAGCAAGGAGACTAGTTAGGGGACTTGATATCAGTCCAGGCAAGAACTGCCAAAGGCCTAAATTAAACCATAGTCATGAGAAAAGAATGAAGGAATACATGTAACAGTCATTTCAAAGCCAAAATAGATTGGGCTTTTTATACTTGATTGGATGTTGTAGAGGAGAAAAATGAAGGAGGTTTAAATAAGAAAAAGCTTGTAGCGCAATAGCTACTAATAAACTATGTTGGAAGTGTCCATTGGATTTTTGGAAGTATAAATTTGGGACTTAGAGAAAGAAGACTGGATAAAGACATTTGAAAATCATCTGAAGATAGATGATATTAAAACAATAAGGAATCATCCTGAGAGAAGAGTAGGATGAGGTGAAAGAAACCTGTCATTTTATGTAACAGACATTTAAAAATTAAAGAAGGAGCAGGAGTGAATGAAAGATTGAAAGAAAGCAGAGGTGAAGAGGAGGAGGAAATTGTATCGTCCAGGTGAAGAAGGAAAACAGTTTTAAAGCATGTTGGATGTTAGAGTCAAAGAGCACTGATTAGACATAAGCTATTGTAATATAGAGAAGAAGAGCTGGGTTAAGAGGAATTGACAAATAATTGAATTTAAACGGGGGCACGTTAAAGATGGCAGTCTATTTCTAGCATAGATGAGTGGGAGGGTGGTGATGCTGTGTGAACCAAGATAAGAACACCAGTAAAATAGTGTAGTTGGGTGGGAATATAATGAGTTCGATTAGGGATATGATGAATACAAGAATATTGAGGAGTATTTTTCCAGCCCTTTTTTTTTTTTTTTTTTTGGTACTGGGGATTGAACTCGGGTCCTTGCACTTGCAAGACAGGCCACCGAACCGCTGAGCTAAATCCCCAGGCCCTTTCCAGCCATTTTTTAAACCTCTGTGTGTGTGTGTGTGTGTGTGTGTGTGTGTGTGTGTGTGTGTGTGATCCTTGTTTAGAAAACAAGAAATGAGAAATGAAATCTGTTCTTTTTTGATATTACCAGTGTATAAAATATAGTTCCCATAAATTGTATATATTTTCAGCATTATGCAAATTGTTTTTAATCAGGTAATATTTGACTAAATTTAAAGAGATGTGACCCTAATTAAGGTGAAGTTATAGTTGAGTCATCTAAATAAAATGAAATTCTTACCTAAAAACACATGAATATCTAATTCTGGGATTTTCTTTACTTTTTTAGAGATGCACTCAACAAAATGAAAGATGTATATGAGAAAAATCCACAAATGGGAGATCCAGGGAGTTTGCAGCCTAAATTAGCAGAGACAATGAATAATATTGACCGCTTACGAATGGAAATCCACAAGAATGAGGTAGATTTGTTGTTCATTTGTCTGAGACATTTTTATCAGCTTCACTATGATAGATTGGTTTTTGCTAGAAGTGGGTTCCAATATTTAATTTTAGGATTTATGATCTAAAAGTAAAATGTCATGGTATATATAGATTAATATATTATGATATATTTGTATATTAATATACCATAATTTATATATAGTGTATATAGATTAATTCTTTGGTGGACATTTTTAAAAACATTGATATATAAACCTGAACATTTGTGCTGTTTTAAAAATCAGCTGCAACATTGATTATTGACCAAATTGCAATAAAAATTTCTCATCTCAGTCTCCCAATAAAAACTCAAAGCACATTTTAAATGTAGGCTGTCTTGTGAGCTTTTGAACAGACTTATTGAGATCAGTTGTCTGCTTATTTATTTGTTTCTAAGGCTTGGCTCTCCGAAGTTGAAGGCAAAACAGGTGGGAGAGGAGACAGAAGACATAGCAGTGACATAAATCATCTTGTAACACAGGGACGAGAAAGGTCATTTTAAAATTTTTATTTCTTTTTTTCCAAATCTTTTTCACCCCTTTGTCTTAAACTTCATACAGTTCTGTTTCTTCATATAGTTCTTATTCTTCTCTTTCTTCCACAGTTCCCTAATTTAACAAGTTTGGCCTTTCATAACTTCAGTCTTTTGAACCTAAGTGATTTTCTATTCCTTTAAATGACTAGAGATGAAGTATGATATTTCATCTTGCTGTTCAATTCTAGTTTATCATGCATCTAAAAACTGATCTGATTTAAAAACATAAAAAGTTCTTGGAGCTACAATCTCAGGGACTAAGAACCTCAACATAGGAAGATTTTGTTTAGGTAGAGTTGAGTAACTTATGCCAAAGAAAAATTTTACTGCCAGCTGCTCAGTTTTGTGAAGGAGAAAAGGGGTATATATTGTTAATTTGGAAGTTTCCAACTTGGCGCTTTGCCAGGTTTCCATGTTTTTGTACCACTGTGACATTTCTTCCTTGGTGTAATGTCTACCTTCTTCCTCACAATGAAAGTCCACAAATTAGGATTTACTTTAGAGAAGAATTGGAAGGTCTAATATCAAATACTGGCTTACTACTTAATTACTGAGTAATTTGAAAAGCTCATTTTTAATATTCTCTGATCTGTTTCCTGAAATATAAATGGAGATTTAAATTTCTGGAGGTTCATTAGCAATAAAAGAATATATGTCACACTCAGGAGTCTGTAGCAGGAGGATCGCTGTGAGTTTGAGACCAGCCTGGGCTACATAGTGAGTTCCAGGTCGGTCTCAAGTACATAGTGAGACCCTGTCTCAAAAAGCCAAAAAAAAAGAAAAAAGAAAAAAGAATGAGGCTTCCAGTCTTACAGAAAAGTGCTGCTAAATTTAACCTTGTTCATTTTTCCATTATTAAAATTTTACTCATTGGATGTTTTAGCAAAAAGTTACTTTTTTCCTCTTTGATTTGAAATATTTTTAAGGAAAATAAAAGTGCCCTTTGTATTACCTGTTTAGGATTTCTCTGAGTTACTAACTTCACCATTAGCATGATTTATTAGGAATTGACTTCTTGTTTTATTTCAAAATCTTTTGGTTTTAAGCAATATAGTGAATACTACTAAACTACAAATGGACTTCAGTGGTGGAGAGCCCAGATGACATGTGTAGGACTCAGGTTCTCACCACTCTTGTCTAGCTTTCTCTCCCTTTTACTGTGTTGGCTTCATTTAAAGTCTCTGTTGTTCTTTCAAAGTGAAAAGGGAGTGATCTTCTCTTACAAGCAGTGCCAGGGAGAGGTTCTTGTGCATAGCTTATTACTGGTTGGGTTACAGGCCTACTGTAACCCCTCGCTCCCACCATGTGAGTGCAGTGCTCATGGTCTCTCTGAATTCGCAATAGGAATAATTCTCCATGAGCTGAACACTGAGGTGGGTCAGTCACCTAAGTAACTTTAGGATTCTTTCACCAGAAGAGGGGGTGATGAATCTGGGATGATGAAAGCAAGTGTCTACTGGGTTTTTCCATTTTGTCTCTGAACCCACTGACAGTGAGATGCATTCACTGAATACTGCTTTGTTCCTAGAACATTGCTGAAGTTCCTAAACTTATCACAAACTCACAAAGAAGCATGTTGTATCAGTAACAATTTATATAGTCAAGGTCTAAGAAAATAGGCTTAATATGAAATCATGCCATCTAATTTTCTGAGTTGATTCTGAGGAGAATCAATCAAGTTAATACATGAAGAACTCTCATGTTTGTGATATTTGATCAGACTTAATTGTTTTTTTAGTCCTGAGGGAAGTTACACTGATGATGCCAACCAAGAAGTTCGTGGGCCACCCCAACAACATAGTCATCACAGTGAGTTTGATGATGAGTTTGAGGATGATGATCCTTTGCCTGCTATCGGACATTGCAAAGCTATCTACCCTTTTGATGGTATGATGTTCTAAATGTATTATATTTCCTTAATTAGCTAAATAGTACATTGTCTGTCAGAAAATTAACCTATTCATTAGTATACATACTTTTAACTATTATAAGTAGAGGGACCCCCCCACACATTTGAAATTTTAAAAAAATTATGTTCTCAACATTCTGTTACAGATTATTATCTAACTTTGATTGATACAGAACTTCCCCTCTTGAACTTACTAATGCTTGCATATATTCAACATGGTTGAAGGAGCTTGAGCATATACCCCATCCCAGAAGTAGATGGCTGGTAGATGTTACTTCATGTTCCTGTTTGTGCTTTATTAACATTAAAGACAAGTGTAAGGCATAGTTGAAAGCCATCATCATATCCTGACTCTACTGGCTGCTTTTTCAGATGACAGTGGGAAAGAAAGTGGTGTAGCCTCTTACTGTGCTATCCTTTCCTTTGTGGTAGTAGAACAAACTCTTTTGGGGAAATAAGGAATTGTTGCCCTCTTCTGCATATTTTTAGTTACCCTTCTCTTGACCCTGAAAAATCATTTTCCTCAACTAACATAAATGTTGCACAACACATTCATAATTAAGTTTTTTTAAAGTGATGTATAATATAAGGTCTTTCTCCACTCAACTATTTTGTTGATTTTAAAATTGAATGAAAGAACTAGAGTTGTAGCTCAGTGACAGAGCACTTGCCTAGCATGTGTGAGGCCGTGGGTTTGATCCCCAGTGTTGCAAAAAAACTCAGTCTTTAGTTACTCCTCATCTGAGATATTTACAAAGATCTTGCCATGATGTGATCTAGAAAATAGGATAGATTTTAGCATATGTTAAATGAAGATTAGGTTATAAAAACCATTACTTCTAAGCAGGTTGGCCATGGTGGGGAGGTGACAACGGAGAGAAAGGATGTCCTGGAAGGGAGTCCTGTTGCTGATAAGGTCTTGAAGGAAATTTTTGTTTTGTAGCCATTCTACTTTTCCCATCACCAGAGTTAAACTTGTATTTTCCTCTGCCCCCTTCCCACCTTTTCACTGTCTTTTTACTCTTTTTCTTGATCTATACCTTATAAATTGTTTAGATAACAGTACATCTCAAATTGGGAAAGGAATTAAAAGAGTGAAATAGAAGTTTAGAATACCCTATATCAAATCATATAATGTCATTGTGACATAGTCACTTCCTCTGTTCTGTGGGGTGATACTAATCCAGCATCATAGGCTTCTGGTAGTTTAAACAAGAATGTGCCTTGCTGGGCGTGGTGGTGCACGCCTGTAATCCTAGCACTCGGGAGGCTGAGGCAGGAGGATCGCTCTGAGTTGGAGATCAGCCTGAGCTACATAGTGAGTTCCAGGTCAGTCTCAACTACATAGTGAGACCCTGTCTCAAAAAACCAAAAAAAAAAAAAAGAATGTGCCTGAGAGTCTTGGATAAAGTACAAAACATCACAGACAGGTTGTTGCTAAAGAATCAGTGGCTTGTGGACGGGTGCATTGGAATCTAGTAGGGTCTCTTATTTTTGTGTGTGTTATATTTCTAACTTTTATTTAAAATATGCTTAAATTGTGCTTGTGCTGTGAAAACTCTTGTCTAGGACATAATGAAGGTACTCTGGCAATGAAAGAAGGTGAAGTTCTGTACATTATTGAGGAAGACAAAGGTGATGGATGGACGAGAGCCCGGAGACAGAATGGTGAAGAAGGCTACGTTCCCACATCATACATAGATGTAACTCTAGAGAAAAACAGTAAAGGTGCAGTAACTTATATCTAAACTAACCAGGCAGTTTTGTGCCCTAGGAACTCTTAACTTAAAATGAAACACATTCAATAGGTCAGAAAAAAATAAGAAAACTGAAAGGGCATCACAGGTTATTGTTCACTGTGTGAGCTGAGTACAGGCTTGGTATTAGAGGTGTGAGTATTGCCACAAGTAACTGTTTCTGTGACGCCTTATCATTTGAGTAATGTTGCTGCGAAGCTTAATTGATGCCTTTTGCTTTATGTCCTGCTTAAGTCTGTGTGAAGGATTTGTGTTTTTCTGCCTTATAAAAGAACTTGATTTATTGGGCAGGAGTCGTTCCCTCACCCCTTTATGTCGGAAAACAGACTATGTGAATTCAAATAAGTAAAACTGCTCTGAAATGTTAAAGAAAGCTGACTCCCAAAAGAGTAGTTTGTTCTAGGAGTTTGAATTTGTAGCTTCAGTTGCTAGGAAGAAAAGTTGGATAATTGGGTAAAATAATAACACAATGATTTTCATTTTCCTCCTTAGTCTTTGGTTTCCTAAAGGAAGAATATAAGCACCGAGGGCATAATCTATTTAAGTAGTAGGCTAATCAAGAGATCTACAAAATCACCTGATCCAGTTCTTATGCGAATAGTTTTGAGACTTGAAAAAATTTTTAGGCTTACTGGTAATTTTCAGTAATGTACAGACTTCCTTCTAAATGAATCTCATGCTTGTATTTTTTTTAATCTTTAAAGTGTCTTTTGGAACTATTATTTTAGAAATCATTTAACAATTATACCTAAGAAAATAGATTCTAAATCAGTGAGGATAGATAGAAATCTTGAACAGAGGGGAAGCATTGGCCAAATTTACTTTTAGAAGAGAAGCAGTTGTTTTGACTGAGTTGAAGGAAGATATCTATACAACCATTTTGTGCCTGACTTTAGCTGGATGGTCAGTTATTAAAACATTATTTTTTCAGTTAACTTCAACAAGCATTTATTGGAAACATTGTACAATCAATCAGTGATTGTGCAGCATTGGTTTTATGATGACTGAGTTAGTTATGTGGGGAAATAAAAGGAGATTTCAGAGACATTTGGGGCAGATACTTTAAACTGAACACCCCTTTTGGTCTTACCAAAGGTCTTCAGTAATTGTTCTTTTCTTTTTCCTCCTGGACTACAGGTTCCTGAAGAGGGTTTCTGAGGAAATGGGCAAGATGTTGAAGGAGGTTACATGCAGCTGCTTTTGGGGGGAGGGTAATAGAGTTGTCAGGCTCAAAGAGAGAGTGAGAGAAGCAAGTTGCATGAGTGCATGCAGACATGATTATTTTTTACTAACTTCATTAGCATTTCCATACATTATTTTAAAAAATCATTGTAATACCAATCCTTAAATTCCTAGTCCACAATTATTCACATGGAAGAAAGAAAAAAAGCCAACAATGGCTGACCCTTTTTCCTTTATTTTACTGATGTCCGAATCAGAAAGAATGCAGAGCTGTCATATAAAGTTTGTCTTATATTTGGCTGTCCCAACAGGACTCTGTCCAGCTCTGTTTCAGTTGATGTTTAGACCAACCCATTTGTCTGTTAGAATCTTTGCCATTTGTCAGTGTCTGCCTGCGCCACCTCTGTGCTTGCTTAACATCCTGTTGCATGTCTAGAGTGACCACACTTCGATTTTTCAGGCATGTCTTTATAATCCCTTGTTGTTGTCAAAGCCTTTGTTTTGTTTTACATTTGTAGTGCAAATCACTTTGTTAGACATCTCTAGAACTAATATTTCCATCTTAGTATCTGTGTATGCTGCTATAACTTCCCCACTGCAAACATTCCAGTTTTGGCATTGTGAAGACGTAGTCTGTGAACCTGAAATTTTGTGATAAGGAAAAGAAAACATCTCTGCTCTAGCCTACTGCCCAATTGAAAGAACTCTTTGAAACACGATAAATCTTCAGCGTCTCAGTCTTGGAAGAATCGATTGTTAGCACTGAAGTCCTGGCATAATAAACACAGAAGATACTCACCACCTCAAGACAAAGAGCTGTTGTCAGAAGTCAGCTGCTTCCATTCAAATGCTGCCTTAAACTAGAGTGCCTAAATCTGTTGATTACCCACACTACCACTACAGTGTCCCACAAGGGCTTTATGTGTCAGATCAGTGCGACCTCCTTTAACTCTGCGGCACTGCTGCAGCTGCCGATGTAGCCTCGGTAGGTGGCTTTTAGAGCTCTACCATGTACAATGGTGCATCTTCAGATTTATGCATCAAACATGTTCCTGTCCATTTTACTTTACTCAGTGTTTTATGAGAAGTTTTATGGACCTCCCCTATTGTCTTTTAATTTGGAGTTATGATGAACTCATTTGATTATGATGATGATAGTCTCTTTACAAGTGATGCTTTTGTTTGAACCGGATAAAATTTAGTGAAACTTTGTAATCTATGTGCACTTTTACTTGTAAAGTGGAAATTTCTGTATGTTTATACTTGTAAATATAATTGTCATTAGTGCTCTTATTGCTCATGTTGTCTTTGCCTTGCATTTGTGATTTTATTCATGACTTGTATCAGCTAATTTCTTAGTGATGTAATAAGGAGGTGGGTTGGGTGGGTGGGGTTATTTGTACCACTAAAACTTCTTTAATTTGATTCTTTACTGTTTTGAGAGGAGAAAGAACGTGAAATGGTCTGTGTATTATTGGACTTTAAGCAATATTTTAGAAGCTGTGTGGCTGCTTTAATAATTTTCCCAGTGTTATTTGAATCATACAAGGTATACTAAAGCTAAATGACAATTGTGTGAAAGTTAATGCCTTCATAAGATCAAGTACACCACTGTTACACAGCTGACGTATAGTGTATTACCTTTGAGGCTAGTAAACTATAAAGTTTAGATACTGAATCTCATTACAGGGTTATTTATATAATGTGACATTATTCAGTACTGACATACTACATGAAGTAGTTAGTTTTAAAATCTAGTGCTATTTTTATTTTAAAGGTTAGCAATGAGAAGGAAATGTGATCTGGCTATGTTTGTCTTCTGTACAAAGCCTGAAGTGCTTATGTTTTTTGGCTTGTAGCCACAGAGGGCAAAGTTTAAGGCTTTCTCTTAAGGACTAACTCTTCTTTTCAAGCTACTGTTTGTTTTTCTAAAAGCAGGATTTGCTTCCGTAGGAGGCAAGTTCCTTCATGTGGAATAGTGAAACCTGTATATGGGTTATTATAATATGAAAGACATTTGTACTTGCACATTCTTAAATCATTCTTAAATTTTGAACATGTGAATTGTCCAAAAGAAATCTTAATTTTTCAGTAATTTTTACTCTTTGTGCACATGTTGATTCCTTAATGGTAAAAGCTTTGTTAAAGATAGTGTTCTCTGTTGAGAATATTTTCATTGAATAAAACAATCTTTTCATGGTCAGTGAAGGTGTATATTTCTTATTGTTATGTGAAGCAAACATGAGATGATTTTGTTCTATTTCAAGTAATACAAAGTAGATGATAAATTCTTGAGATGGGGCAACCTCTTGGGAAAGCAGTTTTAGAAATTTTATTCTAGTTTTAGCATCTCTCAAACTTTCATGCAGGAATGATTATTTCTTTAGAATGAATTTAACTTGCATGTAATAGTTTGGATTTGTTCAGCAATAACCATGTTGCACAGACTGTCCTTTTGTACTGTTTTATCCTGTGCATCCATAAGAACTGTCCCTGTCCCACATAGCCCAATCTGCCTACCACATACTAGCCAGTGTTTCTGTACTTCTGCTTGATTCCTATTCAGTTAGGGAGAGTACCCATGCTTCCTGGTATCTCAGAGAATGGAAAGGTAAAATTTGCCATAATTAGTGACACATCATCAGTAAGTCTAATTTCAGAAGATTTCATCTTTTTAAAAATGCAAACGTGAAACTAACTCTGCAAACTTTCAGAAACCCAAAAAGGGAATAAAACTAATGGTAGATCCTGAACAATGAAAGGTTGCAAATGTTGAGATGAAAATTTAGTGATCAGTGCCAAACTTAGAACGAAAGACATAGAAAACAATGAAAGTAGAAAAAGGGTCAAATGTTACAGTTTCAGATGAACAGAAGTTTGGAGGGGAAAAAGATAATGAAAAGGGCTTTTAACCCATTTATGTTGAAGCTTGTAATTTTTTGAGTTTTTGCAGGAAATTCATATGTGTTACTTAGAAAAATTCAAGGAACAAGAATTTGAAGAGAAAAATTACTGTGTTCCGTTGTTATGTGCCATTCAAAAAAATGGAACACTATGCATAGAAGGATGAACTAAACTAAGATCAGGGAAGTCAAATCATACTTGCTAGGGAAACATAAAGAAAGACCTTATAACAATATTAACAAGGAAAAGGAAGTCAGACTTGTTGAAAAGGAGGATCACTGTCAGAGTTAGAAAAACTATAGAACATAAAAGATGCAAGATTGGGGAATGGGTGAAAATAAAATTTGGGAAATAAATTCTGGTAGATTTGATGACCGCCATTAAATGTACTAGATAAATGTTTAGCATTTGGAGGAAATGTTAATGGGCAGCTGACCTATGTTCTAAGAATAAGTTCTGTCAGATTACCCTCATTCCTTTAAATATAAACGAAGAATCTAAGACATACTTACTGTCTTTGTTTCAGCACAATTTCAGTTTGACAGAATTTCTCGCTCATTTTCATAAGATGGTGACAGCTTTGTGTAGAAAATGGTGGGGGCTTGTGACGAGCTGATTTGATAAACTCAGACTGTCAACCATGAGGTGAGTTTCTTGTGGAAAACGTGTATATGCTGTGAAACATAATAAATCTCTCACCCAGTTTAACATGGAAAATTGTCTTCTCTTCCAAGAGTTAACCAACCACTAACAAGTTTTGAGTTCGTTTCGTTGAACTCTAAAAGGATGCTTGTAAAGATGGTATATGTGGTACTTAACCAGTGTGCACTGAGGTCCAGCTGTAGTAAATGCTAAATGTCAAAATGCTTCTATACTTGGTAAAAATAGCAACTCAGAAAAGTAATAACACTAAGTTAATCATATAAGTTTTAGCTCCTGGGGTTTATCTCAGAAACCACATGATTTTCCATGATATCAAGGCATTTCTCATGTCACCACTGAAGACAAAGCTAAAGGGTTTACTGTAGGCTTATTATTACTTACTTTAGGTGTTGAAGGACCTTCTCCGGTTTCATGATCCCTTTGATATGAGAAGGACCTGACCTGGACAACCAAGCTGAAAGATCCTTGCTCTGTTTATCTTCCAAAGAAATGCCTCATCCTGCTCAAAGGGAGCCAAGGTCATGTCTAAGCCTTGGGTGGTGGTCAGGGAGACAGGAAAGGAGCATGGGGAATAGGTACAAGTGATGGAAGTATAGGCCCTTGAAACAGTGCAGTAATGCCCCTTAGATGGTTTTCAGGTTTCAAGGGGGAAGCTTATTCTCTGTGGTGGAAAGTGGCCTGCCTTGTGCATTTCAGGTATTAGAAGACTACCTAGCACCAGCATGCAGATGGTACTATGCTGTGTGGTGAAGGCAAGAGGTGGGACGGGTATCAGCTGCATGTCCCCTCTCTTCAAGTGCCAGACAGAAGATTAGTAAACTAATGACTATGAATTCAGAGGGATACGTATGTTATTGGAAAAGTTGGCAGTTTCATGTGTGGAGTTGTAGGGGCATGCGTTACCTGGTGACAGCCAGAACATATTAACCATTTGTTTAAACAGATTAGAAAATTAATAGTAATTGAAAGATTTGAGCTACTTTTTAAATAAAGTTCTATTTAGTTCATTTTTTTAAAAAAAATTTGCTTATTTTCACATTGGCTTATGATGTATTCTGTATATACTAATTAATAGCTCACTTGTCAAATACCTTGAATATTTCATTGTGCCTTGACTTGAGTTTTTACTCATTGCTGTTTATAAGATTATGTTGTGTTTACACATGACTCATTTTACTGTGTATAGTATTCCATTATATAAGTGTGCACAACTTCTCCGTCTTCCCATTGATGGACATAAATGGGCTATTTCTTGAGTTTGCTAAAATGCTGCTTATGTATATACATATAAATGTTTACAGCTACATGGTTTCTCTAAAGTATGTATCTAGAAATAGAATTACTAACCTAGGGGTTATTTTTTTCAGTTTTAAAAACAGTGGTACATTTAACACCCAGGTTACTGCATTGTTTTTATAGTCCAGATAAGGGTTTCTCATATTTTATACCCTGACCAACACTTAAGAGTCAGACTTTTCAAATTTTTGTCAGTTCAAAGGATGCAAAAGCAATTAATTATAATTTTGTTTTTCTGATTGTTGTTGAACATGCTTGTATGTTTCCCATTCTGTTAGAAACCTGCTTTTATCTTTGTCCATTTCTTGTTAGTTGTTTTTCCATATTTATTCATGGAAATTCTCAATTAAGGATGTTTTAGTTATTTCTTACTGTGTAACATAGCTGGCTGATTTTGGCTTAGAGTTTCTCCTAAGGTTGTAGTCTTTTCAAGGCTTGACTGGGGCTGTAGAATCCACTTTCAAGATTACTCTTATAGTTGAATGATCTAAGAGAATAACGACAAAAGCTGCAGCAGCCTTTATAACCTTAACTCAGATGAGACATATTATTTCTGCCCTATGCTTGTGGTCACACTGACCTCCTCTTGTACAGTGTGGGAAGGGACAAGATTGTGAGCACCATGAGGCAGGGAGCACTGGGGTCTGATTTTGGATGCCACCTACCACTCTTTAATTCTTTCAATTTTGTGTTGGTGATATGCTTTTTCAGTTTCCTCTGCTTTTGATTAATAGAAGCTCTTCATTTTAATGTGTATTGGCCAGTCTTTCATAAGTAGCACTTTTTCAAAGAACTAAAGTTGATTCAATACAGAAAAAAATTCTATATTCCAAAAGTGCTATGGTGTGCCTTTTGCATGTAAGGTTCTTAATTTGTCTAGACTGTGTGAGGTAAGGCATCATTTTTTTTTCTCTCTTTCATTTGTTGAATCAGTTGTAGTTGTTCAAGACTTATTTTAAAAAATCATGTTTCTCCTCTGATTATCATTTCTGTCATGCATTAAATTTCTAACAATTTTTTAAGTTGAGCTGTAGCTTAATAGTGAACTGTTATATTTGTCAGGACAGGTACATATCCAATAGGCTTCACCAACTTGGGACCATTGTAAGTAAGTTTCTTGGTTTTGAATTTCATAAATTTTACTCCAGATAGGTATGAAGACAGCATGTGGCTGTAATCCTCACTGAATTACAACTATTGTCATAGTGAAGACAGTCATATTTCTTGGTTTGATGGTTAACTTTAGGTGTCAACTTGACTGGATTAATATATACCTACAGAAATGGTAAAGTATTATTTATGAGTGTATAAGTGTATTTCCAGAGGAGACTGGCAGGTGAATTGGTGGACTGGATGGTGAAAATCCAACCTCAATGTAAGTGGGCACGATTCTGTTGGGTGGGAGCCCAGACAGAACACAGAGCAGAAGACAGGCAAATTTTTCTCTTCTGGAGCTGGGAAACTTCTGCTAGCTTTGGATTTCATAATTTCAGATACCAGTGGCCCCCAAAGTTCTCAGGCATTGGACCTCACACTTGAGAGTTATGCCATTGGTGACTTCTGGGAAAATACCAGAGCGGTAAGTAGCAACAGATCAACTTGTTCAAGATTCTGAATCCAGACACTGGGAAATAACAGTTTGGGGAAGAAAGGGAGGAAGGAGGTGTATCCCTGGAAACCAGGAATGATCTGACTAGCAACTGGAATCTACATAGAAATTAAAGAGATAGACCACAATGCAGAAAAAGGAAGGGGCAATCTGCACTTTTCTCCCTGACTCCTGGCTCTTGGCTCATGAGAAATGAAGACCAAATCTACAGAGACACAGTGAAAGCAGGTGACTCTAGAGGCCTTCAGGGACAAACGCACTAGTGGAATACAGCAGTAGATTCTGTGTGCTGCAGTAGCTGGTGTATGACTCCAGTCCAAGCATCTGCCACATCCCCTAGAGAGACTGGTTGGTTGGATGCTGTTCTTTGGAAAGACCAACTGATCCTAGGACTCAGACGAGGCGAGGGTCAGCTTCATCTCAGGATTCCAGTGTTAAACTTGCACAGTGACTAGGTGAAGGACAATCATGGGAGACGTCCATGATTAGGGAGCTATGGTCAGGCTGCCAAGAAATACTCAGAATGTTATAAGCTAAGTGACTCAGGCCTACCCCTACAACCAGAGGCCAGGTTCAACTTGAATTTCCATGGGTTTGGAAGTCCCGGAACTGGCACTCTACCCTATTTCTGTTGCCTGCTTGCTGGTGATTATCCAGCATGGATCTGGGCTCTGACTGCTTTGTCTACCAGAGAGAGCAGAGTCATGCCCTGAATTGGACACTGCCACAGAACTTTAGACCCCAGACGATAACCATATCCTTGAAAAATTGTTTTCTGTTTTTTAAAGTTTTATTTGGCTTTTTTGAGGATCATTTTTGTTTCATTTTTAGGGGTTTTTTTGATGTGAATATTGTGTTTAGTCTTTTTGTTTTGTTCTTTTTTTTTTTTTTTTTTTTTTTTTTTTTTTCCCTCCCC